AGCATTTTTTATATGCGGGACGATGTGCATTAGTCTCTCGACGAGACCCATAAACGGAACAAATTGCTTGATGATGGTAATGCTGTGCCTTATTAAGAAACCGTTTGAGCCGATTATGGTAGGACATCGTCATCTACGAATCGCTCATAAATCTTCACAAATCAATTCGATATGTCGATCAGTGTAGCCTCTTATAGAAATGAGGGTGTTCGTCGGGGAAGTCGCGTTGCTCCTTTAAACTTTCGTACATTGTATTGTGTCGCGACCTCGCATAAAGATCCGTTGTCGTGACGTTCTCGTCCTGGAGTAGCTGCACGCCTCTAACGAGAAACGTTTAAAAGGAGCGGCACGTTTAAGGAGGAACAATGGCGAAAACGTGTGTGGGTGAATGTCGCGGAAAATGCGGAGGCCGTGCCCGAGAACAGCCTTCAAGCCAAAGGAGAGAATTGATCTGTCGAAACAGTCAATAACCCGTTATTGACCGATAACATTATACATATGTATAGACAGAGAAAGAGAGAAATTACTTCATGAAGCATTCAGAACAATAGGACAAGTAATTAACAAATTACTTAATTGAATCTTGTGCAAGAAATCTTATATGAAAGAAAGAAGCAAAGTCCTCATTTATTGCAAACTTTAATTTTTTACTTCGAATTTAAAACTAACTACTTACTTTAAAACTAAAATTATAAAGTTTATTTTACCGTATATGAAATAAAGATTGAAGATTCTGTTATTTATTCTGCTATTCAATCTCTAATTCGGAGACTGATTTAGATAAGGAATTCGCTCTGAGCTCTTTCGTACATTAATCATGAATTGTTCTACGTAGAATTCATCACAATTAAGATGTCAGTTGATTCTTTATTTATAAGTCGTTGTGAAAATTGCAGGCTCTGTGTTTGATTGTTATTGAAATGATTTATAGACTGTATCACAACCTTCTTGTGCGACGAGAGGTACTTGAAGGTAATTCACGTCGAGTCCTTGACTCGTCGAATAAAGCAATCGAACTTGTTTGAATACGATTGCCACGTCGTGATTCGAATACGGGTAACGAAGTCCGAATAAATATATTTGCCGGACATTTAATTGCATATAGAACTCTTTAAAATATGAATATTTACCTACGAGGCTTCAATCGAAAGATATTTCGGCTTCTTGAATGAGTGCGCGAAGGTGAGTTCGCTTGAAGATGTCGGTGGGGCAAACGATGTCCTGTTCTGAGGTACGATACCGTCTGTCGAGCTCGGCGTGAATCATCCGTTCATGGACAAAGGCGGGATCCGTTTCCTTGCTTGGGACGCATTATGCTTCCAGTAACATGTTGCAACATCACACTGCTTAAACGTTACACGGAGGTGACCATACAAATAAATCGATTGTGCAAGTAATGAGTAGAAACATTCTTTGCATATCATTAATGGATACTCGGCAATTAGCTGAAATTCTACAAGCACAGAATCATAAATGAGAAAGTTGCAATTCTAAATTAAGATAAAAGTGACGAGTTCTTCGTACGAGGCTTTCACTGACCGTTCTGCAATTTCTTCCCCAAAGCCGTACGTGATAATGTTATACACAGATCTCATTACAAATTCTTAGCTTGTAAAACCGTCTGAGATGTGTTAAAAATTGAGTACCGTATCCGCTCTTCGAATCTTTAACGATTATCATTCGACGGAGAAATATCTTGAGAAAGACTTTGACACAAAAGCCCCGTTTTCTCTCGCACTTTCCTGCCGCCTTGCCGCTTGACTAATCAGACGCGTCACGCATAGTACCCTGCGTCGAGACGGTAGCGCGTATCACGCATAACCGGCATCGGCATCTTCGGCATCGTGCGGTGCAAATTGTACGAAGATAAAATAACGGGCATGAAACGTGTGCCCGCTACACGGGAGGTTTCCACTTTCTTTCCCAGCAATGGACATAGCACTGCGCGAGACAGCGCCTACTTGTACTCAGCAACATATCCCATAAAAATTTAATAATTTCAACTGTGAATTTAGGAAAATTATTTTGACCTAATTATTTAACTTTCAGTTAATTATATAATCTATATAATAACTAATTATGTCTATATATAGATTTCGAGTTTTACCTGAAACATCTAATTGTAGGTACTATATATCTCGATACTTGACACCATGGCACGATTATTTATCATAATTCTAGTACGTTTCCTAAGTATATCTTAATAGTCTTACATTATTTATTACACATCACTCATTGTCAGTAGATACCATGTTATTATATACTACTATGGTGAGGTTTATTTGGTCGTTATTGACACCGATTGATGATATCTTATTTAGAAATCTTATCCTATAACGGATATAGTAATTATGTAGACTAGAGATATAGGCGCGCGCGTAGCGAGATATATTACCCGATTTTCTCCAGATCGACTTACTAGAGAGAAAAGTAACAGTGAAGCTTTTCCCGGATAATGCGATTATAAACTAATTATCCATGCCGACGCACATCCGTCTCGGTACTCACTTTCGTATCTCGCTTTCGACCGTACTGGTACGCGTATATAGGTATCTTTTACGAGGGAAAATGCGCGTTTCAGTCATCAACACTAGCTATGGAGATCGAATTTGCACAATGCATCCGATTCACGCGCGTGCATCTCGATCTGACGCGCGACGCAGTCACCGGCCGGCCACATTCTCCTTCGTCGGGTGTACAACCGGTGAAAGTGCGTACCGATAATTGGGAAGAAGAAGATTACACCGCTCCGTTAGATACGTCGGCCTAAATCCGGATTATTCAGCGAGGAGAAGCGCGCGAACCTTTATGACCGACGCTATATTTGATTGTCGGCCGGTCGGTCGTTTTGTGATCTGCGGCGATCGGTCGCGCACGGTGCGAATTTCTCATTATCACCGGCGGGATATACGTGCCAGTGAAAGTAGGAACGACATTGCATGACGTTGCACGCCTCGTTAGCATAATCGATAATTATCGCTCCCAGAAATATCCTGGTACACTTTCGGCGCGGACGAGTCGCGGTGTCCGTCCGGAAGCAGTTCCTTCGTGTACCGCGAGAGAAACGAACGGATATTAGGCCCCAATAACCCGATTCTTATTGCCGGAAATGCATCAGGAAGCGATAATCACGGTATATGGAAGGCTCTAAAAGCCCAAGTACCGTTTTATAATACAACAGACGTATCTGATTACCCGCTTATGCGTTCGCTTATGCGAACGCCAGGGATCTTTGTAATGTATGCGAATTATCCGAATCTTCACGCTTCAAAAATTCGCAGTAATCTGCTAATCTTAGCCATAAAGTGTTTCTCCAAAGGATAATTAAGGTTTGTTGCGCACGACAATAGAACTGCAGGCAATTCAAAACGTAGATTCGATCCTTCGCAAAATGGAAAAAATGACTTCACGCGTAACAACCCTATAACACCAATACAATCAACGGCATGCGTAATTAAATTTTTTCAAATTATTTCTTGCGAATATAAGTTCAGTTTATTTTTTCGACTATTCTCGCACGAATCAAAGAATTTTTATTATTTGAAAAAATATATGGGAATCCTAAAAATAAAATTTGCCGATTATAATCGCGTACAGATTCGAATTTTTTAAAACGCGCTTGTAAAAAATAAATGCCATTAATATAAAATTTTGAATCATGAATAACTAAATAATAACATAAAAAATGCGCTATTCAACAGATTACTCATGAGAATATTTAATCATGTTAGATGATATTTTATCATATACGCTTATGATAATAAAAATTCTACTGTGACATATACGGTAAGGCATAAAACTCGCTAGGCAGATAACGTGTGAAGTATATTGAGTTAATAAATACTCGGTATCGCGTAATACATCACAAATGTTCGTAAACTCCCAATATTGATTTCGATTGATTCTTCAATTAATTTTGAGAGATTCTTCGATTGCCTTGGAATCAATTTAACGCGGTGTATTCTACTTAAATGACATTCATTTTATGAAAAGTACATCGTGAAAGCTTTTGGAGTACCTATTTGCCACGAGTGTGAGATATCGGACAACATACCTCGAATAATGGAAGGACGTCTCTCGCGGGAACAAGATAGAAACTGCACTTTCCAATGCGATAAATTACGCCGATTATCGGCGTAATTTGTGCTGTCACGGTTCGTTCGCGTGCGGGTGTGTCCGAAAAGAACGACACGACGGCGGCGAGATTGACGGTGTACCGATAGAAGACGTGCCAGACTTCGCGAATTACTAACACGTTCGGATAACAGTTAGCGCGCCTCACTTAGGATTAGCGAGTATGTTATTTTCGCGCAGGAAAGTGGACGGTTTCACTGTCACGCATAGGGCTTCATTTCGAGACTTGTAGTACTAGAAAACGATCAGATGGTGAGAAAGTGTCGTTTCATCGTCGATTTCAGTGATAAAAAGAAAGTTTGGCACTTGCGATTGAATTAATTGTCTTAGTAAACTCATAAATAAATTAGAAATTTTTGCAGTTTCTATTAACATATTTTCTATTTATCATTTAATACTGCGAGAATCAATTTTGTAAAATAAACATCTGTTAGGGATAATTTTCAAATTTTAGAATGACAGAGAAAGAAAGTATGTTTCTTTTTACATAATAAACAAACGAAGAAATGATAATTTATTCGAGTTTAAATTACTACGATAAAAAGGAAATTTTAATACAAAACTTGCAGATATTATTACAATACGTAATACATTTTTGATTATATATATGCCCTGTATTTTTTTTACATATTGCACATATATACATATGTTACGTACATTCTCATATAAATATATGTATTCTAATACTGTGTGCAGATTTTTTAAGTGTTCTCTATTACTGATGATTGATTCTTTCTGTGTACAACATATTATAGACGTTATTATAGCCACAAATTATAAATTGTAAAGTAGGGTTTTATATGTGTTTGTACATTCTATCAAGCTATAACAGATTGCGAGATCAATTTTTTCTTGGTTTGTTGTAGCAGTGCGGCAGCGGTAGCAGCGGCGGCGGCGGTTCGACGGAGGGTGTCGTGGTGAACGTCGGTGCCAGTAACGGCGTCGGCAGCGGCGGCAGCGGCGGCAGCGGCGTCGGCGTCGGTGGCATGGACTGCATGCCCCTGCGCCCCGGTCCGTTCCACTACCTCATCAGCGAGCAAGCCAAGTCCCTGGTGGCCCTGCAGGAATTGCAGAATGAGGTCGGCGCCCTGCTCGAGTTCCGGGACCTCGTCATCGAGACGTTCCCAAACCTCCGGCACAAGATGGCCGCGACGGCGTCCGCGGGTGCGTCCGTGATGTCGTCCACCTGTACCCAGAGCTCGCACATCCCGCTGCCGCTGTCGAGCCCGTCCTCGCGAAGGATCAGCGAATGGGAGCCTGGCAAGATAAGGCGGCGAGTGACGCGCGAAAGTAGCGGCGGCGGCGGCAGCGGTGGAAGCGGCAGCGGGGGTGGAGGTGAATCCTCATCCTCGTCGCTGCCTAGAAGCCGCAGCAACTCCCACAGCGGCGGCACCAAGAACAACTGTAGCGCGACGGTCCAGGACTCCGGTTTCAGTACGGAGACCTCGTCGAAGGACAGCGCCTCGACGGCGATCGCGCCGCGAGCGAGCAGCCCCCGGCCGAATGCGTTGGACGAGGCGGAGGATGAGCTCTGGAACCTGCTGGACGTGATCCACCGGAAGGGAATCCGGCTGCGAGAGGAGGTCGAGTGCCTTCAGGGTCGCCTGGAGAGCGTGGCGACGGAGGAGCTGGTGTCGACGGACGTGCTCGAGGCTGTGAGAAAAATCACCGGCCTTGGCAATGCCGACAGGACGATCGACCGCAACGTTGTTGACGATGGGAGCGTCGATCGGCAGCAGCAGGACAGTAGGGACCCGCAAGTGATAGCTCTCAGGCGGGAAAAGGAACAGCTCCTGGACAAAGTGGCCGAGCTCGAAGCGGAAACGATATCGAGTCGCGCTCGAGCTCAAGAACTGCAGACGGAATTGGCCGCTTTGTCGGCGCTCAAGACTGGTCTGGAGGATCGGTTGCGGGCTGGACTGACCGAGAACGCCTCGGAGATTTTGGCACCGGGCGTTCAAAGACTGCAACCTATCGCGCCGGTGATTTCTTCGCCGAAGAATGCCAGTGTTACTAGTATCAAAAGCAAGACCTCGGCGTTTGCGTCAGTCACCGGTAGTCCTGGAAACAAGGCTCACAAGAGCCGCTTTCGCACGAGGACGATCGAGAAGAATGTATTGTTGGACGTTGTCGGGCGCAATGACGAGATGCGCAATGTCGACATTGATGTTGAGGCGAACGTGAATGAAAGGCGAGCTAGGCTGGGAGCGCTCGATTCCATCCTAGTCTCGCCCACCCGGGTGACTCACGTGAAAGATGTAGACTCAAAGAAGATTGCGGCCATTCTTCGCGAGCATTCGCCCCTCGAGCTTCAGCGGCACCTAATTACTACTACCGTCCATAATCAGGTAAGATTGGTGATTTCTATTCTAATGCATCTATTTATGTGAGAAGAATAAACTTGTTAATCTCTCGATAATTTTATTATTTGCAGGTCCTACAAAAAAGGTTAGATGAAGTGAAAAAGAGCACAGAAACTCTCTCGGAGCGACTAGACAAAGCGCGCGAGGAGAACGACGACTTACGTTTCCAGGTGAGTTGCAATTATAAAAGTCGCTGCATAGCAACTTTAGAAAGAGTCTCAAAGAAGGTCATTGTTAAATGCGTTACATTCTCTCTCTAAAAAGACTATACCAATCGTTATAGCATAATATAAAATGATCTGCATCTCTTTCAGTTGGAGGAACGAAACATTGAACTGGAAGGCACGCGGGCGCGAGTGCGCGTGTTGGAGCGTCTTCAACAACGACCGCCGACGGAAGCCGATCCCGAGGCGGATCTGGAACAACCCAGGTGCGAGCAGAGCGGTCTCGAGCCCGGCAGCAGTACGGAGTCCGCGCGAGACCATCATCCGCCGGTAGAGATCAAACCGTCGCCGCGGCGGCGTCCTAGTCGTATACCTTTACCCGGCAACGTGAGCGGCAAGACATCGACGACGCCTACAGCGAGCGTGACTGCAACCACGCCTGCGCGACCGCCCAGTCACGGCAGGAACGACAGCAGGGAATCGCTTAAGTCGCTAACAAGACCGCCGCGTGATTCTAGTCGCGACAGCCATGGCGGCGGCAAGTCGTTGTCGAAACCGCGCGACTCCAGCCGAGACTCGCTGGGCAATAAAAGTCTGTCCAAGAGCGGTGGTAACGGAAGCAGCAACATTAGCGTCGGCGGCGGCGGTGGCAACAAGGAAACAAACCGGGAGTCGTCCTTGAACAACCGGTCCCTGCCACGTAACAATTCCAGCCGAGACTCCTTAAATAAATCCTCCTCGCTGTCCCGCGCCCGTGACTCGCTGGAGTCCAACAACAATCTTGGCACGTCCTCGCCCATCACGGGAACGGTTAATGCTCCCCCTCGACGGCCGCCCGCTCCCGCACGCCGTTCCCACAGCCTGGCGCGCGTAGCGACGTCCGTCGATGCGTCCGAGAACGGCAAGGTACGACCCATAAAGCAATTCTTTTGGAGCAGCTGGCTGAAGTCACCGTTGTCCAACGGCCCGGTATAGTAGAGAGCTCTCAGCAAGCCTTCTCTCTCTCCCAGGACGACGGGCTGTAGTCGCTCTCTCTTAGGGACAATCACCGCCTTCAACGTCATTCCCTTCGAAGTCCACTCTCTTATCCTTTGCAAAAAGATTAGAAAATTGCTATCCCTTTTTTTCCCGATAGTATCTCGATCCGCACTGACTTTGGTCACGTTAAATTAAGATCGGCTAGACGGACTAAACGGCTACTCGTTCTACCCTTGTCGCTTCCATTTGACACGGTGAATCCTTCTGTACTATCTTGCTAACTGTCTCACTTCTGTACTTCTCGCCTGTAACTAGTACTGTTACTGTCATTACCGTTACGTCACGTCTTTACCGTGCATAATAACCGTAACAGTGACTATTAGCCGGTGATACCGAAAATACGTACATTTATCTGATACAGTCTCCTACAATGATACGGACAAATGTATGCACCGATTTTTATAAGATTGTCATTTTTTCCCATTTTTCCCATAGCATCTTTCTTCACTATGTCCTTGTCCTATTCCCTTCCTTCCCCTCTGTTTCCATCGCGGACTTTGATACGGCGGTAGCAATGATGTACGATCATACAGGAACGGAACTTCCGTTTTCGCTGAGCCACTATCTTTGTCTGATAAACCAATGTTCCTGAAAAAAAAAAGACACATCTCTAACAATACATGCAGAGACTTGAGCGAGCGAATCGACTGACTCTTGTTTTAAAACCACCAATTGTCCGCCCGACCGTCCACCATACCGAAATCAGTCTGATCTGGAGGGCAGGCGAGCGTGCGTTCGAGCCCGTCCCCAACGGCGGTCCAATAAAGAAAGAAAGTGGCCCCTTCTCGCGTGCCGCCGGTTTTTTCTCGTAAGTTATGCTTCTTTTATTATCATTTGCTTCGATGCTTCTTTCCTGGATGTGGTGAGCTGTAGCCTGTCTTTTCAATCCACTCTCATTTCCCCCCTCTGTCCACACCGGTAGAGTATACACAATGGTTTGAACGCTCTCACTTGGATTTTGGCATGCGCACGTACCCGTAGTCAAAAGCTCCCCAGATTGCGAATATGAGTAAGAACGCTTATATCTGCAAATATATTACATGAGAGTTTTTTGAGCTTTCGGAATGGATAACGTAGTTTTAATATACGCTAATGTTTTATCTGAATTATATAGAACTAATAGACATTAATTGTATATTAGTTTGTTACTGTAAATTCAAACTTTTAAGATTATTTTAATTTCCATTTCGTGAACGAAATTATTTTTCTCTTTCAAGGGAGACTGCTAACTCTACACGTATACAATTTAGACTAGTAACAGAAATTAACACATTCTTAGTTGTTTAATTTCAAATATTTTGAAAGCAGATTTCAACGATCTATGGTAGTATTAGAAAATACAGTAAAATAAGTAGACAGTCTCTTATTACAAAATTGCTTTACAATGGGTTTACACGGTTATTCGCAACATTGAATTTTGCCGCTTTTTCTTCTCTTTTGCGATTTATTTACGAGAACCCGTTAATTCGTGCATGCACAGCCGATCATGGAATATTTGATCAAAGTCTATGCATTCATCGCGATAAGCGCGAGCTACCATTGTCGAAGTTTTTGTTGAAGTACGACCGACCGCTGGATAAAATTAGAAGTATCCTAGCCACGTTTAGATTTCACATTTCTTTTGTCTATAAAGACGCACACCATACACGCTCGATTCGTCGCATACCCATTTACCTCGACACTGTCGTACATTTCGCCAGTACATGTTTTCAAACATCTCTCACGAAATAGAAAGAGAGAAAGAGGAGAAATCATTTATTTAGCACGTATTTTTTTTACCATCATTAGCAATCCACGTTAGCGAGTTTTTCTCCCTACTCTTTCAAATGTATGTTGTATGTTAAATTGGTTTGCTCTTTTCGTTTGCTGAGATTTGATTTTATTTGCTAGCGTTGCTTATATGCGGAACATAAAAAAAAGCCCGAGAGAGTCGTCATAATCGCGATTTACCACAGTCATATTTGCGACCAGCGATTTTGAGGGAAAATGAATCGATCAAAATGAAGCGACGCTTACCTGCTTGGCCTTGCGGTTCATTGTCCATCTTATATCCAGCAACATCGCGCGAAACGATGTTACATTTTACAATATATTCCATTCGCTGATAAAATTCACGAGACGCTCTCTTTACTTTAATTACTACGATTTTTACGTTTACATTTCTTATGATTGAATTCAAATCATTACGTAGTAAGTTCGCTTCGTATGAGAATTTTACTTTACGCCCGTACATATCATATTATATAAATACGAGGGATGGCAGATCTTGATACCTCAGCTTTAAAACAGCCAGTAGTACTAGTATTTTCACAGATTGTTACCGTCATACCGTCCTTACATTTAGCACGTAATTTTGTCTATCGTCAACTTTCACGCTGCAAAATTTAACTTATAAATCGGCTGTTCTAAATTCTTGGGTATTAATATAAAGTTAATCTCTTTGTCACGCATCTCTTCAAGATGCATCTCCAAGATGATGCATCTCTAAAGCGATGCTGTAGTCTCGGCAGGAGAATCTTCTCGCTTGTAATAGAACAGCAGCAGGGCGCATTTTATTTGTTCAACTTGACTAACACGCGTTTTGCGTTTTCCAGAACTGCACCGAACCACCGAGTTCCTGGTGTTCGACCAACAGCAGTTTTCGTCACAGCGACTCGTCCCTCTATCCGGATTCCCTGAATCAAGAGACGTCGTCCGTCACCGGTTCCACACGGGTAGAATTCATAATCGGCTCGCCTACCAGGCGCTTCCGCACGAGTTCCGCCTGGCCTCATCGCTACTTCGACAGCATCGACTCGGCGGCTACGGTGCCGGAGAGCCTGCTAACCGACGAGTTTCCTCTGCGACGCGGCGAGGCCCTGGCCGAGTGCGACTCGCTCGAATGCCATCCGATTTCGAGCGAGGATTAAAATGCGCCGATCGTCGACGTTAACGCGAAGCTAGTAAAATGGCGAGTCGCGTAGAGTGAATTACTTGCTCTTGCTTCTTTCCATTATTTCACACCGTACCACTGGTTCTGCTTTACGCGGCCTTATCCGCATCGTATCGTCGATGCGTACACGAATGTATAAATAACAGAATTCTAGACATGTGAAACATATTCGTTTAGAAGATACGATGCGCTGGAGGAGTGACACTCGCGTTCTCAATGACCCTTATTCTGTGCCTTTTTAATATCGACTGTTTTTTCGTTTTTATTTGTTTGAGAATCGCATCTTGTGGCGATTCTAAACGGACAGAAATCTAACGATTCTAAACTGAAATGTAACAATACCATTTCCCCACAGGACTTACTGTGTACTTCCCTCGAGTTGCATTTGAAGAGCATTTCATACACCTTTATAACATGACGGAGATTTTTTAGCAATCAATTTTGCTATCTAATCAAGAATAAAAATGATGTATTGACTTTCATCACGACGAACGTACATTGATTTATAATTTGTATAATTGATGTAACTGATGATAGTAATTGTCAAAAAAATGCTAAAGTTATTACTTTTATTAACGATATAAAGATGGAAATATGGTCAAATTTCAAATTTATATAGATATATCATTTAAGTATGGTCAAATTTCAAATTGATCAATTTATTCAAATATATCAATTTATTTATCAAGTAAAAGAAAGATACACACATACCGAAATATGATAAAAATTATTTTCGAATCTTTTTAGAGAGTTTGTGCAAGAATATACGTTATTCTTGCACAAACTCTCACGTTTTGTCTTTGTTCGGATTTCTCACATGTGTGTAAAACATATACCTAATTTATCAAGAGGTATATGTATAATTCTTATCAATTAAGAAACATTTTTGAATCTTTTATAGAGTCGCATATCAATAAATGCAACAGCAAACGCTTATATTTATTCATTTTGATGTTATTTGATGTTACGTTTGGTATTATTTTTAACATGTAAACGGTATTTGGTTTACGTAACCAACGTCAAGAATGAGTTTGTGTTAATCAAACTTTCGATTACTTGGTCCACGTTCGGTGACAGTACTTCGCAATTCTGTAAATTTTATATCTACACTTTATGTACCGTTATTTTTATTTTATATATTTCTCACGAATATTTGTAATTTTTTAAGCGAAAAGCTTTTGGTCTAACAGATGTGTCGTCAGGTGTGTGATCAGGAAAGATCCGATCGGGTTGTTAGCTCGCAACAGAGGACTAACAGAATCAATATTTCACATTCCACAGTTGCAATTTCGTATTCCATTTAGCATTTCTTCGAATCTATGTTGTGATTAATCGCTTTCTTATTTATTGCGTGTGTTATAATAATGCGGATTTATGTCTGAGTTTAGTCAATGTTTAGTTGATGATACGGAAAAGTATTGTGCTACGATTGTGCGAAATGCGTGACTGTTGAAAAATTTAAAAGACAAAAGGCGGATGCTGAAACTTTCATCGAATATGGAAATATATTGAGTGCTCTCCACTCACACTTTCTCGAAAATAACATATCATGTTTAATTATATTCATGCGCTCGTCCGCTGGACGCAATAACGGGTGTATGTTTGGTATAGATATACATCGAATGCATGAACAACGAACGAACAATGAATGCGAATAGAACGAATAGAATGCGATACGTTGAAAAAGCTTTTTTTTAAACAAATTTTGATTTCGTGTTCGCTGTTCATTCGTTCTTCGGTCGCACAATGTATATTTCAACTGAGGGTGATAAAAGATGAACGGTGTTAACTCTTACTCGTTATAGGAAGGTTGAGGCTCGTCGAATTCGTTAACGATTCACCGGAATCGCGTTCCAATGCGCGTAAAACTCACGATGCCGCGACTCCGGAAAGAGCACTATGTACTACACAGTTCCTCGTTTCAACAACCAATTTTAATTTATAACTAACATTGACGATTGTGAACACTGAATAATAATCACAGACAGAGCCTGTGATCCTAGCTATAAATAACCGTGAAACATGTGATTAACATATAGTTTAAGGTGTAAGCCACAGGACTGACGGACTCTACTTATTATTTTATTAGCGCCTAATGTCTTTATGCGCGGCGAAAACGAACAGGGGAACCGATGCGCATTCGGTGAATTTTGCTCTTTTCCTGATCTTTTTTTCCTTTTTGTACAATGGGGTTCGTGGACGCCAGCGAAAATGCTCAGATATTATTGTTATTCGTACAGCCGGTGGATTTTAGTGCCCGTATCAGCGTGTGCGCTGCCGACTGGAGGCTATTATTTTTATACCTTTAATTAACGAGTAATCGAGAAAGAGCATATATAAATGGGCTGCGAGAGTGCAGCATCCTCCCGATACCGATGGTTATTAAAGCGCTGTCGCTGTATTATACTTTATCTAGTTTAGATATGTCTTATCATCATAGAATTATTAATTATTGTTTTACGAATACACACCGACATATTTGTACATAGATAACGTCGCGATTTATTTAAATAAATTAGCTCTAATGTAAATAAATATTATCTGTAACGAATCTGCGATAATGTGATCCTATTAATAAAATGAAATTACTTGAAGATATCCATTTTCTAGTATGCATTTAATATAGTCCTCGTGTAAATCTGTACGACTTTGGCAGATTACCGCGTGTACTTGTAAAACAACTTGTATTCAACAGCAAAACGTATATCACATTTCGTCATATTATAAGAAATCACTTCGCAATCACATATTATCTCCAATCAACAATTATCTATAATCGTAGAATTAATATTTGGATGATATCGTTAAATCGTTAAAATCTTTCAGTATCATGAGATGATGAAATAAAATAATGATCTTATAGTATAATACCGATTATTTCGGTAATAATGCAAATAATTATTGCACTACTTTTATAAGAAACTAATTTGTTATAAATATGGAAGATTTTATTCTGCTGTTGCATAAGATTCATGACAAAGCTTTCTATTAACTTATCAAGGACATATTGATCGAAGTGAATGCTACTTCCGACAAAGAGAAACTGACGAAGAAACTTTTTTTCCAAGTAAAATGCCATTCTCTCACGTATTTTATTGAATTGCCAACGGAAACTTGAGACAATTTATCTTTTCAGTCGTGTGATTATACGAATAAGTGATGAATAATATACATATTTCCTATCATTTACGTGGTTGAGAATTCCTTGATAAAAGCAAATGCATTCCGATAAATAATTGCGCGGAAAACAAATCGTTTCGCCGTTGTAAGGCTTTTGTTAATTTTCGACTAGCAGCGACTTTACGTTTCTGCAGTATTTGTATGCAATCATATAGGTGAGATAAAAACGTTATAATTATGCATTCAGTTCCAACATCGCAAATACGTGTTTCCTCGACAAGTATTTCAAGTTCACCGCTGATCAAGAAAACATTTTGCAATGTCTATGCGAAAAATTGCTTCTTCGAAACGCAAGGTTGTTATTATGCCCAGTTAAATTTCGTAATAAAACAGTGTGGCGCACTCACACCGTCATGTTAAACGGCCAGCAATTATATACGTCGGTTAACACACAACGGATGTCTCGTATTATTTCGGGAGAACACGTTGTGTGACCGTTGCCGCAAAATTGCAAAAAGAATGCCGACCTTTTACATTTAAACGTCTTTAATCTCAAAAAGTGATTTAATTTCAACTTAATAACTCCGATCAAGAAAAACACTATCATTTTCTTTTAAATATACAAGCTCGAGAGTCTCGGTCTCTTTCTTTCTCTTTTTTTTTCTTTCTTTCAATTTCGCAGAATACAGGCGATTTAAATCGATAATTCGAGACGACTTCGTTACTTCGTACTCCTCGAATGTAAATGTCAATCAAAGTTACGAGGTAATTGTCCGTCCGTCTGGTTTAATCGCATTTTGTAATCGCTGCGCGTTTTTCAAAACCATCGCGTTTTCTTCGACGATCAGGCTGCAGCGCGCGAATGTTCTCCCGCCGGATTAAATGCCACTGCTTGTGTTAAACGGGTTTGCGGAGAGGCATTAATGACACTGAACGTCACGCAAGCGGGTTAATACGTTAATTAGATGGTTTATCGGTTGTCATCATCCGACGGGAGCGTCGAGCGTCGTGCGGAATCTCCGCGAGCGAGAGATCCGGATGCTTCGCGTTATCGAAGCTATCCAGAGATGCCGGCAAACCTTGCGGAGTTCCAGGCAACGCGCGATATGATCGATAAGTAAGACGTCTCGTACTTAAATATTCAAACGAGAATAGACATAGACATTATTGAAATTCAAGTGTACCGCATATCTATAGCCATTGTTTAAATATTCTAATATATGCCCTTCTGGCGTATCTCGACATATGCAGAATGTTTAAACAATGGCCATAGATAGGCGGTATACTTGAATTTCAATAAGGTCCGGGGAGGCTATACCCCCCGTTCCCCTATCTACATTCTTGATCGACGACGACGATAGGTCCTACATCTCAAGGAGACGAAACGCGGAAGATGTCCAAGTCCAAGCTGAACAGCAGATCCGAGAGACCGAGTACGATCCCTTTGCCGATCGCCCATCCGCACCTCTGACCTCGTACGTTTTGTATCTTTACTATCTTTCCCTTGATTGCCCTTGATCATCAGTTAAAAGCTTTCTTAAGCTAGACATATGTGATTTTACACGTTAAACTAATAAGCGGACTAGCAATCTGCAATTAACGTGTAAACATTATACCTAATCTAACCTAACTTAAATCCTTTATAAAATGTCCTGTTAAAATTTAGAGCGATAGAAATATGTCATGCATTATAATTTCTTCTGTACATATTGCATGATTATTTGTGTAAAGTGGATTATAAACTGATATTTGTCGCAATTGACGCATTGAGAAAATGATCGCAGAATAAATTATTAATGATGCAATTTTTTGGTAAATGTATAAGCTGATAAGGTATCAGCTAATTCCGTATTAAATATCTCTTGAGCCATATATATATATATATATATATACTTTCAAATCTTTGGAAAAATGACTTTTAAAATCATACAACTTATTAATTTCCTATCTAGATTGATTAATCAATCGATTGTTTCAAGACAAGAATCAATACTTGAGTTTATGTAAAACTTTTAAAGATCCAAAATGCTAACAGGCTAAGCTGCACTCACGTGACAAAATTATTACAAAAAATTATTATGAGACAATTTTCGAAACGCTTTGTCGCTTAGAGTCATATCGTTCTCTTATTCATGATCTCTATATGTTCTTTTATTACCGAAATTTTTCATCAAGTTAATTAAAATTATTTTAAAGAATTCTATACCAACATTTCAAGAGCATAGTTATTATGTTAATTCGTGTGCCACGATTATAATTAATATTATATGAAATAATCGTCAATTATATTATTTATTATTTATGCGAGAAGCGTTTATCGCAATAAAATTGCGAAATTAATAAGAGTTTACGATTAAATCAACGATTCAATATTATCTTACTTATTATATTGATTACCAAGATATCGGTAACAAACAGGAAGGTTGCACGCACATTATCGTGATAAAACCGTTGCAGAGATTTCGCTGTGTTCATGCATCTGCTGAAGTGCGCGATCGGCACCGGCATCCTCTTCCTGCCGCACGCCTTCAGAAGGACCGGCTACGCGATGTCCATCGTCTGCGGTATCGTCGCCGGCACGCTCTCCATTCACACCGCCATCATCGTCGTACGTGAGAACACGACGAGCGAGAACTTTTTCTCCTCGAGCGTTATCGCTAGCGTTTAAAAAAATCATAACAATTAGCGAGAAACGAACACATAGGCGTCTCTCTTGCTTATCATGCTTGTCCTTGTATACCGCAATGACTTAATTGTTTGCGAATCGGTGCCGCAATCGATGAGATAAGCTACATATTAGACATAGAGTGAAAGGAAAGTCCTGGATCGCGCAAAGCGCATCCGAATGCAGGCAGATTCTTTTTTTCTTTTTTTTTTCTTTTTCTCGGTGTCCAGGTGCAATGCTCCCAGGCGTTATGCAGGCGCAACCGCGTGCCCATGCTGGATTTTGCCGAAACGGCGCAGTTCTCCTTCCAGGCGGGTCCGGAGAGGATTCGAAAGTACGCCAGGCTATTCGGCGTAGTTACCAACGTGATCATTTGCTTCGTGCACTTTCAGGCCGTCGTGATATACATCTTATACGTGGCCACGTCGTTCCAACAGGTACGATGACACGGTATCGCGGCACCACAGTGGAAGTCGGAAGCCGGAAGTCGGAACGATAAATAAAGTCGTGACGTCCGTTCGGTGATTTTTATACAAATGAAAATCCTTTTACGTAGGGTATTCCCGGAACAGACGACCTCAATTTTAATGATCGATTCTTTGACGAAACTCGTTTTTCTTGTGGAAGGTCCTTCGCTTCCACCGGCTTGTATCCGGAAATTATAGTTCAATGTTTCAATTAAGGAAATACCGGACCAAAGATTGCTCGAAGGATCTTATTGCAACTTACTCTAATTGCAATTAGATATCGCATTTTATCTTATTTTCCTCGGTCTCGCCTTATATTTTTTTTTTATTATTGCAAAATGAGCGGACATTAGGACAAACAAAGAGATATGATACGACAAAGTTGCGGGAAATCGATATCTACGAAAAAATGGTGATTACGAGCATTTTTTATGACAAAGTTTTCAATATAATCTTCGGATATCTTTGATTTACAGGTAACAAATTACGTAACATATACTTCATGTTTTGCGGTATTTCCAGGTGATAGAATTTTTCTCGGGTCTCGAGTTGAACCCGCGGGTCTATATCGTCATCTTCTTTCCCTTCACCTGCGTCCTGGGCTTCGTGCCGAACCTGAAGTATCTGGCACCGTTCTCCATTATCGGCACTGTCTTCCTGTTCCTCGGGGTCTGCATCGCGTTTTACTACTTTTTGGACGATGTGCCCGATCCCCGTAGACTTGACGCCCTGACGGAAGTTCTACCTGTGCCCATGTATTGCGCCATTTTCCTGTTCGCCTTGCACAATATGACCCTGTACCTGCCGCTGGAGAACACGATGAGGCATCCCGGTCATATGCCGCGCCTGATCGTCGCCAGCACGTCGCTCAACACGGTCATATACCTGGCATTTGGTTTCTTCGGCTACAACAAGTATCCGGACGCCTGCGACACCGTCATCAAGAATTTACCAATGGAGGAGACGTAGGTGGATTAATTTCTACCTTGCGAAATACTCGTACTACCGCTTGTCCATTTAATTAATACTTTAATATCGAACATATATTTTACTTATATTTCTCTCTCTTTCTCTTTCTCTTTCGATCAATTATAGTTAATTATATTTAGACCAAAAATAGCTGACTTCACAGACCATTTGCACTATTTTCAGCAAACGAAATAGTCGAAGAAATTACATCAGTTTCTTGGGCAAATAAAAATTTATTATTTGCCAGGAATCGCAAATAAATTGTTATCAAAGGCAATTAAACTGTGCATTAACGTGCGACAATCGGCAAATATGTGAGCTGTCTGCTTTAAATGACAGCTGTATAATTAACATCGCCATAATCTGTGATCACAGAACAGGATGTGCTTAACATTTACGTGATCGTGCGGCTCTCTCCACGCGTGTTCAGTATTCTCGATTCATTCTGTACTTCTCGTAAGAATCACAAGAATACGTATCCACGGCGAGTCCTTCGAACAAATTCAACAAAAGCGAAACGAACCAGCCAACCGTAGTAAAAGAAATACGCAATCGTGAGGGTCAGTTTGACCGCGTAAACGTGAAGGACTCAAGTCTGACTTGAAACTAGTTTAAAGACAACCACAGTTAAATTATCACAGTCATTGCATCTGGACAATGCGATCTGACGATTTCACGTATCGTTAAGCACAATATATTGCCGCAATATTCTAGGAATTATCCGATCGCAATTCATTAGGCTTCACACGATCGACATACCTTGATTTCGCGTGGGTTATTAATTCGGTCACTTATCTGTACGTAATGAGTAACGTTCTGTATCATTATTAACACGTGTTCACTGTCCACTGATACGTACCTTATCGTATAATTTTGTTATGGAATTTCTCTCTTGATCATCGAGTTGTATAACATCCCGTTCGATTAGAGATCAATACAGTTATACTGCATGCACGTTTCTGCGACGCTGCTGCAGCATTTTGAAATTTAAATAATAATAATACAACATTGCTAGATAAGTAATCAACGACTGTTCTTTCGTTATAATTATATAATATATAAACATACGGAATTATACTGTACCGTTTTAATTCTACTTCAGCGTTAATCTAAATCTCCCTCTTTTAATATAATAATTGCGTTGTGAGAGAATATCATATCTCGAATCAAAAGATTGCTTCACGATAAAATCTTAGATTTGTATCGATCGCAGACGTACGAAAATCGCAACTTATGTCCCAAAATCCCACTTTATTGATCGTTTAATACTCTTTTTCGCAGTCTGGCCCAAGTAGTCAAGATAGCCATTTCCTTGTCGGTCCTGTTTACTGTCGGTTTGGCGTACTACGTCCCAATCAGCGTGCTATGGCCCATGATCCGCTCGAGAATCGTCACGAAGAATACGCTGCATCATCGATTTTACGAATACTCGCTCCGATTAGGCGGCATAATAGGCACTAGTAAGCGTATTATAAGCACTTGATGGCACGAATGTTGAATGTAATTACCAGGAAATAACCTCGTCCTCGTCTTTCTTTCCGTTCGTAGCACTGTTGGCCATCGCCGTGCCCCAAATGGTACCCTTGCTGGGTTTATTCGCCGCCTTGAGCATATCGACGATCATGCTGCTGATACCCATACTAATCGAGACGTCGACTAAGTGGGCGGAAGCCACAAGGACGATGCTCGTGAAGAATATCGCTATTTTCGTCGTGTGGCTGTTGATTTTGGTACGAATTTTCTTAGAAATAAGACTACACGAAGAAATTTATAAAATTAGATGATTTCGTAAAACTGTGAAAAAATTAATTTTATTTCAAATTTTCCAAGATTAGTTTTTTTCGAGTTGTTAATCGAAATCTTTAATTTGAACCCTCCGAAGTAAATATTAACTTTAGTTTTAAGATTATCGGTTCTCTTTTTCAATTTCATCAGTCCTGAGATTATCAAAAGTATAAACATTGTTATTATTTGAGATAGCGAATATTTATTTTAATACACGCGCCGTAATCTTTTAAATGATGCAATATACGCTTGTGTTACTTTACAGATTTTTGGAACGATAGAAAGCACTTGGTCAATTGTTAGAGAATATAGCGGAACGAAGCAGGAAACATGTTGATCGACAGCTTGTTAAATTATTTGAGAGACTCGACACAAAATTACGAAGCTGCTTCTTGTGATAATATAATACGCTACGCAAAACAGTCTGATGTCACTTGCCGAGAGTTATGACTCTTACAATCAGTAGCAAGATGATATTATGATAAAGATGAAGGACTCTCTAAAGCAGCGAAGCGAAAGGTGGATAAATATAATTTTTATAACAATGCTCTTTGATTACATTTGCTTTTCGCGCACTGTGAATCTATACGAGAAGAAATATCTCAAGCTCCACTCGTTACGAGAGCATTTTAGTTTGCGTGCCGGCATCGTAAGGGTGACATATCTCGGTCGTTCTTTTCTTACGATTTTCTTGCTTTTACATGCCCGAGATCAACGTGATCGATATCGACCGGTATCGAGGACCCTTAATTTCCGTAAAGATTGGAATGTGGCACTTGCGACATTCCACAGGGGGAAGGGGGGAAACACCTTCAATTTCCCTCGGCCGGCGTTTACGTAACGCACAGCGGAGTTACGCCGCTCGCAATGTGGAACAAGAGCGGCAGCCTACAATGAGAAACTGCACCGCGGCGCAACACGGCGGTCCAGAGAAGGTGGGAGACTCGCCGAGGACCTTCTTGCAAGAGGACGAAAAGAGACGGCGAGCGCGCACGCCTCGTGAATGGAAGAAGATAAGAGGATACAGGTGAAAGGGAACGCGCGAGATGCAGAGGCGCGAATCGAGCTGATCGCACAGTCGAATAACCGACGTCTTTATGAGTACGAAACTCGAGGACGGTTACTCGACGTAGTATACTTCAGGAGCCGGAGGTGTCGACGATTTCTGATTCCGAGTGACTCGTCGCGCGTTTGTTTTTTACCGAACCTTCGACTGTAAAGTTCCGTTAATCAATTAATTACGCGGTCGTGAATGCTCGAGCGAGGATAAACGCGCAATGGGATAGAGAAGCGGAAGCGGTACCGCAAGGATTAGATGGAGGGAAAAACGTGAAAGCGGAAAGTGATTCGATGGTTATACGGTCGATATATAGCACTTCGACATATAATTTTGGATGTTATTTGTCAACACTGAAACGATCGTTCATTCATGAAATCGCAAACATTGAGGTATCTTAGAGAGAATTTAAATATTATTTTGCAAATATAGTTCCCCCTCAAATATGTTGTTTTCGAATATCTTCATTATTATTTTGCACGCGTCACGTTCTGTATGTTCGATATTTATCTCCAGCTCAATATTTTCGGCTTTGTAACTCTTAGCCATTAGAGACGATTTTTCTGATTTGTGTTGAAATACTTAACAACAATTCCATCATTAAAAAAAAAGATAAAATAAAGGAGCTAAACTATTATCCGTTCCCCGCTCTCTTCTTTACATAATGATTGTATTAATTAATTGTAGATCTGGAAAAATATTTTACTTAACTCTCGAAGCTATATTAATCCATGATATTTAAGCTCTTCGCGACGTCGAACCCTAACGCCCATTAATTGTCGGACGAAGCAATTTTTTGTCTATAATATTGGCAAGCAAATCCATTGGGTTTAATCCCTGCCATATCGTTTATCGTGCGCACTTCAAAGTAACGTCGACTCGAGTACATTACATGCTGTCACTATCTACTCCCTCCCTTTCTGTTGTACTCGCACGAGTGAGGAAGCTCATGCTCGCGGTAGTCACTCACGTGTATTGACTGTCCGTATATATACCTGGCTAACGCCAAGGAAGTTGCCCAGTCGTGTGCGGTCTGTCACCGTTTCACGTTAATTTCGTCTCGTTACTCGACGTTATTGCCTCCCTCCTTCCCTCAGTGACAGACCAGAAAAAAGAAGCCCATTATCCCGCGAAATCGACGAAAGTTATTTATCCATTACCCTGTGTTCATCGGCTACTTTGTGGTCTCAGACGGAAAGAAGTCATCAATCTTCCGGATGATTACCAGCACTCATAAATCCGTCGTCGTGAGACTAAACCCTGTGATTGTACCATTGCGGAAACGGCGGTGATAATTTCCGATGGAATTCAAGGACAACACCTGCAGATGAGTTATTATAGACAGTTTATCTCGGAACCGCGAAATTCTATGGTGGAACCACGCACGAGTTTCCATCGTCGCCGAGGTGAAATCTACCTGATCGTCACCTCGCAGCGCGAGCGTGCGATCTTCGAATTATTTCCAATCTCGCTGAGAAATTCGCGCGACGCACATTCGCGACATTGATAAGAGATAGTGGTCACCAAGAGGATCAACCGGTCGTTGTCTTCTTTGCACAATTGTAAGCTGCGGGATTTGTCAGGATCGTCTGGATTTTGTCTGGGAATCTTGTAAATCACACCTGGATAGCTTTAATAATCCGCCGATAAGTCATTATCTCGTTATATTATAAATATAGGCCTTTAAGAAAGGAAGAGGCAGAAGGGTACGAGACCTTGGATAGAACTTAACAGCTCTCACTCGACCACGAAGTTCACGTGAGCGTTTCGTGCTCCATGAGAAGAGGGAAAACAGAAAGAGACAGAGAGAAAATAAAGGCCTTCGAGAGTCTAAACCAGAATAATAAAGTAAAGCGTCATTTTAAACAAGAGGACCAATATTTTCATTTGAGCAGAATGACAATGTGAGGATTCGGCGTACTCCAACGTCGTCAGAGAAAGAAATAAACGTTCTTCGTAAATTAAGCATCTACGTTCACGTCCACGTCTCAGTACACACAAGTAAGTATGACTTTAACGACGCAAGTCACGTACATTGCAAATGTATTTGGAAAAATTTATGAAAATAGACTTTTTTATCTAATCGTCGTCTGAAGATTGCGACGAAGGTCCTAACTTACGAATGGCATGTTTATATAAGAAGGTCAGGTGTTTACATTCAGAGAAAACAAATTAGTTCTGCCACCTATAACACTGGGATTTAAATATCCGCAAATAATTTTTGTAATGTCATGAGGATGAGTAATTTTTTGAGAATGATTAAAGTATAGTCACGACAAAATATGACGTTGAATATAAATATTATTTCATTAGTTATATGTAAGTAGTAGTTGCATATTACTTAATTAGTAATAAATTAAATATAATAATAAATAGTAATAAATTTTCAATACTATTAAATAGTAATAAAATAGCAAAATAATTATAATATATATAGTTATACAGGCTTTGTACAATAAGCCATGACAATTATGTTCTTTCAATTTAGACAAATATTTTTTTTGGAATCAGTCATTACTATAATAGCGTATCATGACACATTTTTTGTGTTAATAATATATTTTTTCTTAATAAAACTATCTTATTACTATTTTTTGTATTTTATTTTACTGCAATTTTGTAATACATAGTTGAGATGTTAATTTTTCTCAATTTTCTAGTTGTGGTATTACTTTTTTCTCCGAGTGTATCATGAACATGTTACGTTATAGTAATTGATAAGTTGTCAACGCATAAGCAATAAGCGAAAGAAAGTGGCGTAAATAAGCTTCTTTTTCTATTTAAAAGACCGTGTAGATTAATTTACCTGCACGTGCGGCAAATACCACAAACATTCTTCTCGATGATTATATTTGCAGACTTACTTAGAGACTCTTTACGAGATCTTTATGAGTAATTTTAATGACCGATTTTGTGTCAGAGCTGGAATTGTATTATAAGACAAAATCTTTAAGTAATAAAGTAAAATCGAAAATAATTTGAAAACAATTTTAGTGTTTTGTAAATGCAATTTGTAAGAATCTAAGAATGCTTTTATTATAACTTTATATTCTAACATAAAACACAAAAAGTTTTTTTTTATTATTAAATATTTTTGACGTACAGTTTAATGGGTTTTTCCCGAAATAATTAAATATTTCTGATTAGAGAAGTTTTGATAAAAATTGACTTATATTTATCGAAAAATTTCTTAGTAAAATTCAACACTACAAAGATATTGCGTATATAAATCGTATTATTATACTACACATCTGAATCATGATAAGCATTCATGAATGCTATGCTAATATTTTCCAAGAGATAGAATGTGACGTTCGACAGTTGCGTTTATTAATTTTTTTTTATAAAGAATTGTATCACAGCAAAAATTTACTCTGTAAGCTGATGACAGACTCGGGCGATAACAATCTATGCTGTGTGATCGATAAGATTATCGTTGATTTAAGATGATCTCGTTCGACGCGGACTTATTCTTCTCAACATTAACACGATGAATGATAGATTCGATAAAAATGAAGAGCAATATTTGTGCGAAGAGCAATATTTACATACTTGTACTTGTAAATATCATTGTAGATATTTATGTTGCTATCAAACATCAAATTTTTAGCCATTGCGTACTGGAAGCGATCACGAGATCTTTGAAAATGCCACACGGTTCGAAAGATACTTCGCTCTGCGATAAAACACTTCACGTGATATAAAGTGACTGCGTTAACTTAATCGCGTCGTGAGTTATTTTATCTGCAGTAAATTATTGGAATAATACAAGCATTAATCGTTCAGTGCAGGTAAATATATTTTGCAGGAATTTACAACGTATTATCGGCAGTTTTTTTTGTAAATATTCCTAACTTGTGAAAGTTAGAAAGTTTCAACTATCACACTGTTCAATTTTTTGCCGTAGAAGACAAATAGTCCTTTGTAATAATGGGATGACTTGCAATTTATAAGAGAGATAATATTGTCTATTGTAAGCGAGTATTTAAAACAGTAATTATTCAAATAATAACTTCTTGACTGTAAAAGACAATTTTACAACAGACAATTAGAGTTTGTAGCAAATTAAAAGTTGCAAAAAAGTTATGACGCTTCTAGTCACAACATAACAAATTAAAAGTTGCTAAAGAAGACAAGGTGTATATATCACTTGATAAAATTCTTTCGAAATCGCGTTGCAAATAATAAGAATTGTGTCCACTTGACTCGGTCCTTGATGCAAAGCTTATCTGTAAGACTTCTGCGAAGTAATTTATCTCGGTACAACTAATTTGCTGATTAACTTACAAAGAACCGTTACGATTAACAAAATATGTCGACAGATCTTGCTACGTCATATCGATATGACATGTTATAGTGATAATTAGAAATAAAAATAGATATTGATTTTTTTTGAAGAGAGATTTCTTTCTTCCTTTTTTTTCGATATCATTAGTTAAAGCGCTAAGTATACATGTTATCGGAAAAATTAAAACTCTTTAATCAGATCTTTAATCAAATTATTATACAGTTTAGCCTTTAAATGTCGAATTTAATTATTCTACAATTTTTAAATATTAGTCAAAATTGCATTAAAAAATTTGCAGACGTAATTAATTACATCCACTTATATACATGGATGCTCTCAGTCATTATTATATATTATAATATTAAATTTTCTGTTATAATGTTCGGTATTTTTTCATGATTAAATTCTACCTCCGCAAATTACAACCATAGATTGTCCTTGTATTCTTTTGTCGGCATTATTCTTTGCTCCTCGTGGAATATGTATGAGATGTAGTTTTCAATTGTGCGAGTCCTTCGCGTTGAAATCTCTTATATATGCGCCGCGTATAGTCGCTTAATCAATCAAGGATCTACATTTAGGTCCATTTATCACTGCCGAGTGAGATCACTCCGGTTCGTTCGCGTAATATGGAGTTTTTTTCCTGTCGCTTTTACGTAAAATGGCGAAAGCAGATCAAGAATCGGTCGCTATCGGCTGGCTGCAATCTTGAGCGCAGGGGGGCCGCGTCTTGCACAACTCCGACTTTTTTATCTCTCATTAATTTCCCACGCGAATCTCGGGTTGTCTGTCGAGTGTCGGGTCGCAATCCACGAAGAATTTTCGTCATCGGTCGTCGGAACAGCGCGCATGGCTTTTGTTGGCAAATAAACTTTGGAGAAACTTTTTAAGAAAATTGGTCAAGGCGAAGCATCATATAACATCCATTTGTCAGATGTGTATCGTGTATATAATATATGTTAAATTTTTTTTTTACGTAACCGGCCACTTGTCGATAAGTCTTTAGAAACTCGCATCTCTTTTTGCTGCATTTTTCATGTCCAAATTTCCTTTTATCGTTCTTATTAATATTCTGTATCTCAGAGTAAATCACAACATCCGATAAAATTGATGATCGATAATAATTGAGTGCAAGCCTTGAACTATTAAATCGCGATTCACCGATAAACTTTCAACCAATTTTTCACAGATCTTATTGTTACCTTATTAAATTCTTGGATCTGATTAAAGAAAATTGATATTTGATCTTTTTATCAATTATTTCTTTATTTGAGAGAGTTATATAAATTATAAGTGGCAAATATTAAGTGATATATATCCAAGATTTCATTGCAGTGTGTTAATCTTATCAAAAAGTGATTTTGAAATACTTGAATTGTAGAGAGAGAACTTCTCTGAAATTCGCGGATTTCTGCAATTCAAGTATTTGTTAATAATTAATACTGCCTCATACAGTTATCGGAAATAAAAAGTGTAATATATGTATTCTTGAAATTAGTTAATTCAGAACGTGACTCGACTTTGACCTTAGCATTTTTTTTTATCAAAGAATGTTAATAATGCAGCTATAGTATAGTGTATAATTAACATTGCGCGGACACTGTGAGCTTTTTACGGCACAGTCGATTTTTCGTATTTCACAGTTGTCTTTTGACGTTTCAACACTTAAAAAAAAATTTGCAATAGTTCTGGCCTATGTAAGTATAGAAATCACTTTTTGAAACCTTAAAGATGATACATTTATAGACTTTTTTGTAACACAGAACCGCTTTCAAAAACCTTTTGGACTTAAAAGTCCCAGGGTGTCCGGGTGAGTGCTCCAAAAACACGATGTCCGCGCAGTGTTAATAATACATCTTATTAACGTAAACTTCTTTTTTCGCAATGCCAGACATAGATACGAGTGTAAAGACTTCACCAACATAATATCGCTTATATATAGTATCAATAATTAAATATAAAGAAGAGTTACAATCGCTTATGGAAAAACCATGTTTATTTTTTTGAAAACTGCACTGATTGTTACACTGATTCACGTCAATATAAAAAAATCGCGGTCAACCAGTATTTGTTTAGCTGTTTGATTTATATTTACAATATGATACGACAACGAGGAAGCCTTCCGTTTCCAGCATGCTTGATCCGATAACGCTTATCTCATTTGATGCGCCGGCAATTCATTTTATGTCTAAGATTATTGATTTTTCGACAACTCATATCACATTAACGAAAATTAAAAGACAGAAGTGATAGGAATGTTGAATGTGAATAACGCATTTTTTTGCTATTACGAAATAAGAAATCATTTTCAAGTTTATTTTCATATTCGTACAATTTTACTCTCATATAAAATAGCAAGCTTATAAAAATATATAAAGAATTTATTTATTTAATTCTGTAACAATTAATTAATATTAACGTAATAATTCATTTTTATATCATGTCATGATTTAATTATTAGATACTATATGTAGTTAAAAATAAATTTTCCTCTTTCAATTTTCTATATGATATTGTTATTTTTACAGAATCACCATGGGTCGAAAGGAGAAAGAGCAATCGGGCAATCCCATGACGGAATTCAGTAGCAGGTATTTCCCTTATATCATTAATGTCCAATGCTGTATTATTTACACGATGATCCAAACAACAAAATATACAAAGATTAATCAGAATGTAAATTTTGTTCATTGCATGGTAAAAGATCTTGCTGATATTGTTCATGCGTGATAACTATGTTAAAATCGTGCAGATAACAATTAAATGATCGACAACGGCTTGCTTAATGAGCAGAGTCATCCTTAAGTGACATACGTCAATCGTAGATAACGGCGACTTCTGTATACGCAGTGTCTGCAAAAGTAATCATTATTGATCAAGAATAATCGTCGTGGAATGCGATTGTATCGCGTTTTATGTGACGATAGCAAACGCGTTGTATCAACTCGGTTTTTCCCTATAACACTTGATTGAAATTCTTTTAAATTTATTAATATTTTTTGTAAAACTTGACAGGTAGAATGGCAAATAACACTACAAAAATTTTCAAGATTCTCATTAAAATTATCCAAAGTTATATTTAACACGATAGTTATAGTAGTGTATTTTTATTAGAATTTAATTTATTTACGATATGTGGAACTTGCAGTAAAAAAAGGCAACGTAACTTTTCAATGAGACAAGAATTTCTTTTATGAGAAGTAAAATATTATTGCATAAATATATTGTCTTTTTTATCGGGAAAAATTACAAAAAAGAGCGTCTTTTATTATAAACATGTATTCTTTAATGCTCCCATAATTGTATATAGATATGTTATTATATTTCTTCCCTATCTCATTGTATTTTATTTAATGCTTTATATAATAATTTATTTTTTTTCGTTTTTAGCACGAAGATAGCCCCGAATATCGGCGAATATAAAGAAAAGGATGAACTATACGATCCCTTTGAGCATCGCGATAAGCGACGTTCAACTTCGTAAGTTTCATATATTTTAAGTGAGTCATGACCATTATAATAACAATGAAGTAAATAGAAAATGTGCCTATATACGGCCTACAGACTGGATCTTTTGTGCCTAGGAATATTTTTTACATAATTTTACGTACATTTTTCGCTTCACAAACCGTAAGTTCCTCGTAAGTAACCTTCGTAAGTTTCGTTTTAAAGTCTTTATCGGCACGTGTTAAGCAATTATATTCTGACGACAAAGTACCGCGCATTGCAACATTTTTTATTTAACATACACATTAACATATGCATAGGCGTAAACTATATATATATATTATGACCGTAATAATATTATATGCATTTATAAAAAGATGAAAACTTATCAGTTAATCTTGAAAATAACTTTCTACATTTTCATTCAAAAATATGAAATTATAGTTGCCTTTAGATGCGATAGAAAAACATTCAATTAAGATCGAAATGCACATTAATGATTTTAATATATTCAAATAATAACGACAAAGTACTTTTACAATAATAAATTCATTTACACATCACTTAAATTTATTTAAATTTAATTAAACAAATTTATTTACATTATTTATGTACTGGAAATATCAACATTACAAAATATACATTAGAGAAAATAATTATCTTTTGACAACAATTTTTTTTCATGAATACAAGGTTTATATAGTCTCATACTAAATAAATTTATTCCAATCTCGTTTAATCAAATTTTACCGGTAACATATGCGTAATTTTCTATAATCAATTCCATTTTGCACATGTAGCAAATAAGAAACAAGCGTCAGTAACATAATTCCACGTTTTGCCGCGCGTTTCAGGGACCTGGGCTCCATGATGCATCTCCTGAAGTCCTCTCTGGGGACAGGAATCCTGGCTATGCCGCACGCGATAAAGAACGGCGGGCTGCTATTCGGCGGGATCGGTACGATCATAATCGGCATAATTTGCTCACATTGTGTGCACATACTGGTGCGCACGTCTCACGTGCTCTGCCGGCGCACCAAAACGCCACAGCTGTCGTACGCCGAGACAGCGTACGCGGCCTTTCTCTGTGGGCCGAAGCCGATCAGGCCTTGGGCCAACGGCAGCAAGATATTCGTGAACACGGCGCTGTGCGCGACATACGTGGGCGGCTCATGCGTTTACATCGTGTTTATTGCTAAGACCATTCAACAGGTATGCATCTTGCATAATTCATAACAACAAGGTCGTCTATCTATGCTAAAACACGTTTGGCGCGACGAGCGCAACTTATTAATACATTTTTGCCTCATTCCGCTACAACAATTAGTTTCTGTCTGTCATTAGACTTGTACCAACATGTATACAATCTAATGTAAGTCTAATGAGTACGAAGATGTCTTACATATAGTGATATACTATTCATCATATTTATCATGTTAATTTTTTTCTCATTATTTACCGTAAATATTAGATATATAACATTAACGGGATGGATGAGAACTAAAGGAGGCGAGGAACTGATATTCAAATTAATAGCTCGCGCGAAGATACTTTATACAAAATACGATTCAAGATTATTTTGATGAATTAACTCTCGCTTTGCAATTTTTATGATTTCACGATATCGAATAAATGTTTTTTCTTTTACGCGATGATTATTACACTCTTCAATCAGCAGATAACTTTAGTGTAGTTTATATTTGTGTTATTGTTAGTGAAACAATAATAAAAATATAATTTGATAATACGATAATTATCGCGTAGTTTATCAGATATCTTATTGTTAGATTGTAATTATTGTTAATAGTTCTTATCACATTTTTATATATAGTATTATAAAATTCTTCCTCTTTGTACGTAATTACTGATTGCAAACACATCCATAGTTATTATCTATCTTTTTACGTCGATACATTAATTGATTGACGCTTTGCGATGTTTATGGATTGTTACGATAATTTTTATTCTTTAAGATATTATACTCAAATAGTCTTGCTTTTTTGTCTTTATAAAAATGTATGAGAAAATTATAACTCGATATACGTATATTACACTACAATTGAGTTTATTTGGAAGAATCCAGACGATAGAACAAAAATAATGATAATTATGACTTTTAAAACATAAATGTGGACACAGAATTACAGAAGTTTAAAGTATTAAATGTTTTATTAATTAAACAATACAATAATAAGAAGAATTACATCAAATAATTTCGATCGGGCATCGCATCTTGGAGGAATGTTCTACCTCTTTTTGTGAATGTCCTCCGTCTCACTCGTTCCACACGTGAAATCGACCCGAGCCCTTGCATAACTCGCGTGATCGAATCGATCTTCCGTGTTAGCATCCTGTTTTCTTTTCAGATCGCGAGTTTCTACACCAAGAGAGACATAGAGATACAGTTGTGCATCCTCTCGCTGATCCCAGCGTTGATACTGCTCGGTCAAGTGCGCGATTTGAAATATATGATGCCGTTCTCGATGTTGGCGAACATCTTCATGATATCCGGCTTCACGATCACGCTCTACTACGTCTTCAGTAGTAGCAATCTACTATCGTTAGAGAATAAGAAGCTAATCGCCCGGGTGGAGGAGCTGCCCCGTTTCTTCGCGACTGTGATATTCGCCATCGAAGGTATCGGCGTTGTAAGTTCCAATGCCAACTGCCACGGTGACGGTTAGTGTTATTAAACGCAAAGTAATTAGTCGTCGCAAGCATAGGTGATTCTTTGTTTAATTAGAAAGGATAACAAAGAATAGAAATAGTTCAATATAGGAAAGCAACTGCTGCTTTTATAAGTAAATGATTTACAATTAACGTCCCTCTTGCGTCTTTCGTATTTTTGAACGCTTTTCGAACCCAATACGATTGTAATCGCAGGTGATGCCCGTGGCGAACAACATGAAACAACCGCATCACTTTCTGGGATGCCCTAGTGTACTCAACGTCACGATGACGATAGTCGTGTGTCTGTACGCCATGATGGGGGTGTTCGGTTACCTCGCGTACGGCGAAAATTCTGAGGCCAGTATCACGTTGAATCTGCCAACGGAGGAAACGTAAGTGAGAACACAGCTCTTTCGCTAAATATTAGTATGTCGTTTTGATACACGCGTTGTAGACTAACGAAAAGCAATGTTTTAGTCTAGCCCAGGTGGTGAAGATCCTCATTGCCGCGGCCGTTCTCTTTACCTACGGTCTGCAGCTCTTCGTGCCGCTCGAGATCATATGGAATGGCATAACGCACAGGTTCAGTCATAAGTATGCAGCCATCGGCGAGACGTCGATGAGGGTATTCATAATTATGCTAACAGGTAAAGTACCTTACATCATACCATTACTATAGTTAAATCTGAACAGCTCAATTGCAGGTAGAAACAAATTCACAGTCTGAACTATAAACAAATGATTAAAATGTACTACAAACGAGAGAATACTATATCATTCAATTTTATAAATATATATATTCAACATATTTCGGCTATACGAAGATAAAATCCTTTGACTATACAAAGCGAGCGACTATACGGCTAGTATTATTAAACACGAATAACCGGTCGTCCCATGCGTAGGTGGTTTTTTACCTGATTGGAAAGGATAACAGAAAATATAGAAATAATTCGATACAGGAAAGCAACTGTTGCTTTTATAAGCGGATGATTCATAAGTCGTCTGCATCGTTGAGCGACGTGTATTCTTTCGTATCCACAAATGGATCTCTAGAAAAGATGTAGTTTTTAAAAAGAATTAAAAGTACACATAATTTTTTATTTATAATCCATTTTATAGAATTTTCTTTTTCGCGCTAGGAATTTTCTTTTTTTTTTCTTTTTTATTGGGATCTTAACTCTTTGAGACGCAAATTACAGATTTATACATTTAAAACAGGAAAGTAACGTAACTAATATTGCAAACAAATTTTATTTTTTTTTACTTTTTTATCGAGGGGTTTGTGTTGCGTGAGATACAACTGTGATCTCTCATAATTGCAATAACGAGTCCAGCGAAATGGTTAGATATTCATCAAATACTTAAAGAGACGTGTTTTTCATATCAACGTGCCTCATAGAGTTAAACGCTGCTTTCCCGTAACCTTTTCCGGTTGCGTTTTTTGCGTTTTTTGCCGCGAACGATATTCCAGCGATCGCGAGACCGGCGAGACGGAGAAACCGCGATGAATCACGCATTCCCGGTAGAGAGGAGGTCGGTCGGAGACCCGATCGGTGAGCCGATCGAATGATCGGTGTCACCCACTTACTCCGCGTGCATGTACGCGTGACGCGCCTTTTTATCACCAAGTGCATCGAGAAAGAAAGGAATTGTCTGCCTGTCTGCCTGTTTCGGTTCGGGTCAGCTCTTTTGTTCGGTGCAATAGATTCGGCCCACTTTGGTCCGCTTATTCAATTTCTCATCGTTGATAGATTTTTTCCGCTTATTAGGAGTTGCCGATATGTCGTCTGTAAACACAGCATCACGAATATCTAAATACCGCGAAAAATGTGTAGTTTATCTGCAGCTTATTCTCTTTTGACTTTCCTTTATTCGACGTTTGTGTAAAGTACAATACAATAAAAATGTCATGCTTGTTGATAACACTTCTTGATAATTAAGATGTGTTCTACATGCAAGTTTAATATGAATGTAAGCTTCGAAGTCAGAAGATAATGATTGATATGTTTGTGATATATTATTCTTTTTTTTTTACAGTGGCCATGGCGGTGTCAGTGCCCGATTTAGATCCGTTCATTTCCCTAGTCGGTGCAATATTCTTTTCTATCCTCGGCATCAGTATACCAGCTGTCGTCGAGACGATTTCGTGTTGGGAGAGCCATTTAGGCACCTTCAAATGGCGGCTATGGAAAAATTCTTTTCTATTTATATTTTCGATATTAGCGTTAATATTCGGTTCGTGGATCTCAGTGCAAGATATAATCAAGTATTATAGTACGAGTAAGGATTGATAAGTTTTAGTATTTTATTTAGCGTTTTATCTGAATTTCATATACATCTGGAACTCCAGTGTCGACAAGAAACGCGGTTTTTAATGAGAAACAACTATTTAGCGTGATATACTTTTGTATATCCTCGTTATTTGCGTTTGTATTTGACTCGTGGATCTCAGTGTTAAATAATGAACTATTATAGTTGATAATAAATTTTACTGAGTTTATTGTTTCACTAGCGTCTTTCTTCTTAATTTTCCTGTATAATGCACCTATTATCGACTGCTTATATGTTAAAGTTGAGATGAATTGAAGGTTTTAGGATGAGATTGGAAAAAAGATCCATGACTGGTAAGGTTCATCTTAAGCTTAAGTATGATTTACATACTTTGAGTATAATTATAACGAATTATGGACCTATGTCATATTCTTTCGAGAACTCTCGATACATTTTGGCAATTATAATAATATTTATTCCGTCTGCTGGTACACAGATATGTCGCCAGTAAATCTGGTTGATCAACGTTTCTTCTTGTTTCATATATATGTATAAAAGATATTATGCTTTCTAAAAGAATGTCGAGACAAAGAAAAATTAATAACAGTCAACTCTATTAGAAAATAGAAGCTTTAATCGACAATAAGCGTGATTAGTGCTAATGCTTCTATAAACATTAGGTGTTTGTTTGAAATATTCTAATACCTTTTAAGATTTTAAATATAAAAATATGTTATCTTGCTTAAGAATTTAAATAAATAATTTACAGCATATTTTTAATTAATTTAATTTTGCTTTATTCCAATATAAAAAGGTGGAGGGTCTCTATAGGTTGATCTGTTTCTAGCAGATGTTAGTTAAAACCTAAGATGAGAACTACTATTTAATTTATAACTGAGAAAATGCAAAGTCTAAAATGCATTTAATCGCGATAAGCGCGTTCAGCAGACACAACTGTTGAGTTCGTCTTATCAACACTCTGCGTTGATTGGTTGGTTCTAAAAGTAAGAGCCAATCACGTTCGACTGCTATTGAGCGGCTTCTTGGTCTGCTGAACGCGACCAATGACATTCGGTACAAGCAGGACGGCCTTTAAAAATATTGCTTATATCTTTTCCTCGATACCAGATTAAATAGTAAGTACCAGATTAAATAAAATTAAATTGCGCATCAGATAAAACCGCGCAATTAATAGCTAATCTATACCGAATAAAAAATATATTTGATAAGTGTTGTAACGTAAATATTTCATTCGGCGATTAATTAATATGCTGATATATGGAACCGGGGCTCAAGGTATGTACATGCAGGCAATAGGAATAGGGAATATAGGAACAGAATGCATTGATACACGGCTTCCGATAGGTTAAAAATCTATATTTTGTTACGATTCCCTATTCTTTTTCAAATTTCAAATTTTCAAATTTTTTCCGGAACTGCAATTTTGCGTAGTCATCCTCTGCGTTCGCTAGATGGCGCGGGAATGCCCGCAATGATGCGTTTCTCGAGTCGCTTCATTCGGTAGTCGGTAGAGAGCGTTCCGTATTGTGCGCCATGTTTGTCGCGTCCGCGCTTGCCGACAAAGTAAATTTGTCAGTTGTCACAATCTACGGGAATATTAGCTCGATAGTTCCAAAAAACCGAACATTTATATACACATAACATATATCTGACAAGTGGCTCACGCTTTCGCCTCGTCGTCCTCCTCGATCCAAGATCGCGGCGTCGCGGCGTTCGTTTGTATCTCGTATCGAGAGCGTCTCGTATATGTCGGATCGAAAAGTAGCGGGCGTCGAGTCGGAGTCGTCGGAGAAACGCGGGGACACGCGGGGACTCGACGTGGAGCACGGTGTGCGTGAGCGTGTGCGGCCGACAGTAGCGACAAAGAAAAAGCAGAATCGGCCGCGCTCGATTCTTTCGCTCGCGCGATACGGCTTTTCGTAGCTGAGCTTCCCAAGCCGGGGGAATCGCCGCGCCGCGCGCGGGGACCCATACGTTCCTACGGTGATTCGAGTAATCGCGTCCGCGTATTTTCGCGAATTCCGTGATTTTCCGTGCCGCTGGCACGCGCGTGCGGAATTCGTGCGGCACAGCGCGACATAACCTAATCTCCCGGTGATCGGCGACTCGCGCGCGCGCGCGCTCGTGCGTGTGTGTGTGTGTGGCGTGTGGCGTGTGCGCGCGTATATACATATATATATAAAACCCTTTGCATTCCCCGTCGCGCGCGACAATGGCAATGAACGAGGACCTCGGTTTCGCCGAGCTCTGCAGGCTGTGCTCGCTCAAGAGCAGCCACCAGCTGCAGATATTCGACAAGGAGAGCGAGCAGCGGCAGCTGCTGTTCAAAATACGCTCCTGCGTGCCCATCGTGGTGAGTATAGACGACACTTGCCGTGTACGCGGCCACCGCGTTGCCCGCCCGGGACCCGGGATCCGAAACGACCCGTCGTATTCCGGCCGAATTTGCCGAGGCGACGCGCGACAGATCTCGAGACGCGAGCTAGCTTTTGTGCGGGAGACCCTCTAGAAGTCTAGAATTACACCACGTGCACGAGAGATATTTCTGAACGGAGGTTCCCCTCGCGAGAGATAAAATTGTGAGTTGAATTATCGGAGCTCCCAAATTGTTAAGAAAAGGGGTATCATTAAGAATACTTGAAGGACAATTGAAATTGCCTCGCTTGATTGCATTGCACGTGCAAATGCAGAGCTTTCTGCGTTGGCGTGGTTTGTGAATAGCTCCTTGTTTTACGCTCCAATGCTCCAGTATTGAAACAATTGATACCTTGAACTTTTGTGACTAAAGATCGCAAAAAAAAATAAATAAAATAGAGACTTAAGTAAGTGAATTGATCAATCAGTCGAGAATGGCCGAAAACGTATTTCTATCGTTTTTAAATTGGCTGTGATCGGTTTGCTCATTCCTTAAGTCTTACTACTTGTTTTTTTCCTATTTTCGATGGCTCGTTCATTTTATTGTATTAAGAAGAACATTTAACAATTCTACGGTTAAAACATATTGATTTTCTTAATCGTTATCTTAGCACTTATTTCCTTTCGTTTTATCATGTCCTCGTAACGTAAAGCTTGAAAGAAAAAAAAGATCATTGAGAGTCAAGCTAAATTGGCCGATTATTCCAAAGAATCCTGAAATCAAATTTACAATTTCGCCAGTTGTCATTTTAAACAGAGGAAAACACGAGATCATTTTGTTACAGATAGCAAAAGAGGATGGACTGCCAAAAAATATTTGTCAGAGATGTATCTACAAGTTAGATATGTTCTACGAATTTCGTATCAGCTGCTTATCCACAGAGGCAGTATTGAAGAATTATGCAGATTCCTTGAAGAACATTGTTGCGCTTAACAATCAGGCAAGTGAAATTTTCCTTTCCACGTACCAGGATTATGTTAAACTGCATAGAACTTTTAATCATAGCAAACATATGTTGTTGTAATATATCGCACATGTAACAGGATTGTGTTTTATTCAGATTTTGTTTATTCACATTTGTGCAATATTACATTTGTAATATTGCGAGAATAATAATGCCCTTTGGTGTCCATGTACATATTGGATATTTAAATAATTTTCGATTCGTCAAAATTGGTAAAACAGTCATGGGATTTGCTTTTGCGTGGAAGAGGGAAAATAAAATTTTCAGTTTTTTTACGTCCAATTTCATCACAACTGACTGAGCTATTTTGTCGGTGTAGTGCGAAATAGTACGAGCCTCTTCGACTTCGTAAAAACGCGCCGTAATATTGCAAAACAAAGCGATTTTATATCGGTGTAGCGTAAAAGATTTTTTAACGCAGCGTGCTCGACGTTCTTTCTCTCTTCTGCTTTCTCCTTATAAAGACTTGATAATTCAGTGATACTCAGCATTTTTCCAAAAACGCTGCAACTGAATAGGTATATAATATAAAACTAAAATGAACTTGATGAATTAATTGCTTCCGAAGGAATCAGCTACTAAAGCATCACCAATGGCGCGAGGAGTGTATCGCTAGAGATGCATATCTTTTTCTTTCTTCCGTACTCCTGGTAGCGGCAAGCTATGAAAAGGACAGGGTCGGTCAGACGGGAGCACGGGTCCTGTCGGATGGTGATCACGAGGGGGTAGGGGGGGGAAGAGAGAGAGAGAGAGAGAGAGAGGGAACGCGCGCAGGGGCGTCACTGATCGGTAGCTAGAGGTGCTCGGGTCCCCCGCTGACCCCCCTTTCCGTGTCTGCTGCACCCGGCGGCGCGCGATCTCAATAATTCCACCCTCGCGTACGCAACGTAGACGGGCCGGCGGGAGGTGAGGAGGGATAAATAGGAGGAGAGAGAAAGGGTAAGACAGAGAGAGAGAGAGAGAGAGAAAGGGTGTGTGTACGTGTGTATGTGTCTGTGTGTGAATGTACGTGTGCGACGACCGACGTCGCGACGTCTATTGATCGGCGCGTCGCGACCGCGAGACGCGTCGCGCGCACAGAAAGCGAAAGTCGTAGTACAAGTATACTCCTTTCTTCGCTGTCTCGACTGTCTCTCCCCCACTTCCCCCCCCCCTGTTTTCCTCCTATCTGCTTCTGCAACTTATTTCTCTTTCACCTGTCTGCCGCGTTCCTCCTCTCGTCACGTAACACTCCTATTTCCTTCTTAATTTCGCTCGTTTCTTTCCTACATTTCATCTTTCTTCATCTGTCTCTTTTCCTGTGCCCTTCAGTTTTATCACTCTTTTATCTTGTGCTACTTATTAATCTATTCTTACGAACGTGACGCACGTTACTATTTCATTCATTTGTCACATTCATTGTCAAAAAGGATTCGTAATCGTAATACCATAATGTTAGAGTTATCATAGTCGTTTCGCGACATTCCTTATCAGTTGCGTTAATTTTCTCTTAGATACATTTTTTTACAAATATGCATTTGTTCGTCATGTTCCGAAAGGGTTTAGTCATAGAACACGGCATATAAATCCCATCCTCCTCTCGCTTCTCTTCTCCTCCCTTCCTTTTTATCTCCATTCGCTTCTTCTCCCAGTCTCGCGCTCTCTCTCGTTCGATCCCGGATCGCTCGATCCTCACCGCCTCCTCCCAAGCCATCCGCTCTCCCCTGCCGATTCGGCAGTCCTAGGCACAGGTGCAACGTGAGTTGCCGTGAGCTCGCGCGGCCGAGAAACCTGTTTCGAAACCCGGGATACCCCGACGAGATCGACGCAGCCTCGTTACGTGGGTGACTCTCTCCTTCTCTCTCGTCGCCGGGCGCGCTCCGGAATATCGGCGACGCGGACGGCGGCGAAGGGCAGCGCGACGAAGAGGGTCGCGAGACGACGTCCTCGTCGTCCCTCTGACGTCTCTCCGGTCTCTCCCATGAATCGCTCCCGTGTTGCGACATGTGTGTGCGCGCGCGCGCGCGCGCGTAAGTTCTACCTCCCCTTCTGCTCTCCCCCTTCTCCTAGGATCTCGCCCTCTCTCTCTCGCTCTCTCAATGTCAGTGTCAAGGTCAGCGGGCCGACGCACCGGTCGCTGCCGCCGTCGCCGCCACCACTGTTGCACCGCACACAACGGCGATGCTCCTCCTCGTGCATCCCGATATCGCTCGCTCCGCTAGTCGCGTATAATACGTATACGCTGAACGAGAGAGAGAGAGAGAGAGGGAGAGAGAAAAGGGAATCGAATGGAAAGGAGGGACAGAAGCGAGAGGCACCCCCACGCGGCCACCCTTAACGCCGCCTCGTTGTTCCTCGTTGTTCCTCGTTGTCTCGCGTCTCGCTTCCTCCGGTCCGGTCGACCGTTGGTTCGCCGCATTCCGGGGATATCCGCTCGGTATATCGTAACGCGTCGCGTTCGTGCGTCGTCGGTTATCCTCCAGCGCGCCGGGGCGGTCCCCTTCTCCCTTCGGGCTTTTCTTTCCTCGCCCGCATTTTTTCTTTCGCTCCCTCTCTCTCTCGGTCTCTCTCTCTCTGTTACATCTCCCAGCCTCCCTTCTCTCGTAGCAGCGCGACGTTACACGTCGCGAGAGAGAGTGATACACACGAATCATCGCCCCGCGCGCATATACACGTAAACACACACCTTGCGTTCCTTTCTGCCGATCGGTGGTCGGCCAGCGGGCCGGCCGACTGGGGCCGGCCCCGTTTGTCTCTCTTCCCGCTCCCGGCTCCCCCCGTCGCGTCGCTTCCCGATCTCCTCGTCTCCTCGTCGTATTCGGCGTGCCCCCGCGCTTGCTCGCTCGCTCGCTCGTCTCCTCTTCGCTCCGTCGCTCCGCTCCGGCCAGCCGGCCGCGCGGTGCATTCCGCGGGGAGCCTCCGCTCGGCAACGTTTGTATCGCGCGTCGCTCCTCCGTCGGTGTGTGTCACCGGCTGGCTCTGCCTTACTTCTTTCTCGCCGTTCCCTCTTCCCGCCCCCGTCGTCTTCACGCATACACACGCATACATCGCTCCGTCTTTATCTCCGTTTCTCCTCTCTCATTGAACCTTCTCTATCTCTTTCTCTTCCTTTCTCTCTCTTCTCCCCCTTCACCTGCGGTTCCGTCTTTCTTTCCTCTCTTTCTTCTTCTCTCCCAGTCCGACGGCGAGGGAAACGTCTCCCCGGTTGTCTCGCGCTTATCCCCTCCGCGCGCCCGTCGGCTGCTTTTTTTTCGCCTCTTTGTCCTTGCATCCTCCCGCGCCGGGAATCGGCGGCGGCGGCTGCGGTGGAAGCTGCCAGCTTCGCGGCTCTCTCCTGCCTCGTGAACCCGCGGATATTCCTCCGAACGCGTCGCGAAAAGCACGAAAACGCAACGTACAAAGCTTTTTGCGCGTAAAGAGCCCCGCGAACGTGCATGTCAGTGTTAACGTTTGTATAGTGAACTGTCCCGCCGAAGCGTGCCGGTTATCGTCGCTCTGGTACATCCGGAGTAATCTGATTGTGTGAGTCTCTCAACCCCCCGAAAATAAACATCAGCTTCGCGTCATCGTTATTGCTACTTTACGTAGCTTACTGCATCGGTGCTGTGATTAAAAAATCTGGGTCGCGCGATATTTTTTTGGAAAAATCCGCCTCCCTCCGGTCGTAGGTGTTCTCCTGGCCCTTCGATTCCCGGAGCCCAACGGTCGTCTTTGGAACGTGGATTGGACTCCGTTAGTGCGTGGTAAGCGCGTCCAAAAAGACGGGCGCCCGTTTCTTTCGTGAGAACGATCGACTCGCGCGATGGCTTCTTTCTCTCTCTCTCTCTTTCTCTCTCTCTGTTTCTCTCTCTCTACTTCCGGAACGTCTCTTGCTCACCAATCGTTATTGCGCGATATATATATTTTTTAGATTACTTTAGATTATTTTAGTGCATTTAGAAAGTTGCAGAAACGCAGAAATGATTCTTGTCCTTTTATTGTAAATTACAATTGTATTAATAGTCCATTGGCAGTGAGCAGGATTGAGCGCGAAAGAATAATTGACCGACAGATTATGATGACAATTATTTGGAGCATTCTCCGGAGTCACTTCCCTAACGCGCGCGATAGCTTTCCTCATTGTTCTTTCCTCCGAGAGACCTTGACGGAGCATTAGCGTATACGCTGGCGCCGGGAGGGAGATGCTAGGATCCGGATGATAGGATTATTACATGAGAAAAAAATTTGAAACATGACTGATATATTTCTAGATCATTACACGAGAGAAAAATATCGTTGATAATATTAAATAATTACTTCACAATGAGCGTTTTAAAAGAAGTGCAATAATGTAGGCGATAATAGCGATACGAGCTAACAATAAGTACTCTCAGAACATTGCATTGTTATTATCGGTTATTATTAATAGATTATGACCAAGTATGGAACTGTATAACAGGAAAAAAACAATCTTATTCTGTGGCAATTTTTGAATAATTTTATTTTACGTTATTTTTTGTCTGCAACAATAGTATTTCAATCGCTTTCGTAAGAGGACTCCGGGTTACGAAGTATACGCACGAATTTCCGGATCTTCGTAAAGCCATCTTTGATGCGCCGTTCTCGTGTCAGACGACGGTTTGACGCCATAGAAAGGACGATACATAATCGAGACACGCCGAGTATTCGTGTCTCCGTTATGAACTTGCATTCGTAATTACATTTTGAAATAAATTAACATTTTGAATGACGTTAAATCTATTTATTTAGAAAATATACAGCTATATTTTAACGAGTTACATGCCGTATCGATAGGAAAAGAAAATGAAGTGAGTTTGACGAAAGTTATCTATCTCGTTAGACTTTTGCGAAGTCGATCGAGAGCCACGTGTCGTTCGTTGTGTTTAAAATAAATAAGGATTAATTATTGCACTACGTGTGATCAATTAACGGTTTTAATTTAGAATACGGACAAGGACAAGATGTCAAACGGCGGGCAACAGCAGCAGCACGCGAGTTACGCGGAAGCGCATACTGCGGCACACGCGGCACTGCAGCAGCACATGGCACAGCAGGCCGCTCAGGCGAGGTCTCTGGCTGGACCTCACGCGGCCCCGCAGCCACCGAATCCCACGTTCACCTTGCCAGACGACGGGCTCGGCTACGATGATGGAGTAAGAGTTCTGCGGTCTATTGGAACATGGTACGTAAAGGGTGCTTTGATCGGTTCTTTCTTAAAGCACCGCTTTCTAGAAGCGAGATCTTCCGTCAAAAATATTCTCGAGTCATTGCTCGATTATAATTTTTAAAATATATAGATGTTACTGCGTGAAATATCTGACAATCTACTTTAATAGAAGATAAATATTGCAAAAAAAGGAATGCTCCCTAAAACACTTTCTATAATGTCCTTACATTAAAATCTTATTTTGCTACGCTTATTTTAAAGCTATATGATTGCTTTCTGCATTAAATTTCGCATAATTATATTTTAATTGGTCTCCAAGCTAAAGATATTGCAATATGATCATTGGTTCTTACTTCACAGGTCATCGGATTACTCTGCTGCGATGCGTCCCAGCATGATGCCAGCATTTCCTGGAACGGACCAACAATTTGGAAGTAGAGCACCGGCAGTAAATCAACCATTACGGACAACGACAGCAAACAGCGTGAATGTTCGTCCGGGATCTGTTTCGAAAGCGACCAACACTGGCGAGCCAACGACGAAGGCGTTTGCTTGCTCTGTGTGTGGCAAGGGGCTCGCTCGTAAAGATAAACTTGTCATACACATGCGTATACATACTGGAGAGAAGCCATATTCTTGTGAGGTGTGCGGTAAGTATGAAAATCATATAAAATACATTCTACCATTAGATAAAAATTATTTTGAATCGCAGATCATCTACCTTTAAAAGGAAGCAATGAATAAAGAATCCGATACATGTTGCAGGTAAAGCGTTTGCGCGTCGAGACAAATTGGTCATCCATATGAACAAACTCAGACATAAATCTGGCGTTTCGCCTCTGTCAGCGCCTACCACACCAAGATCGGATCAACATCAACAGCAGCAACAGCAGCAGCAGCAGCAACAGCAGCAAGCGCAACAGCAACAGCCATCTCGTCAAGATAGCATTCATAAACTGAAGGAGGAGCCAGTGAGTTGGGCCTGCGAGCTGTGCGGACGATCACTCGCTACCAGAGAGGAATGGACAACACATGCTCGGTTAATATTTCTTTATTTTCAACATTAATATACTTCTATTTTAATTTAACGTTTTCTACAATTAATTTTACTCAATTGCAGGTCTCATTTGGTTGAAGGAACTGTGCCGCCACAACACGCCGCTGCGTATTTCCCAGGATCTGTCCAACCGGCGCAATCCTATACCACCGAGAGGAATTTTTGCTTAATGTGTCGCGCAGACTTCACAGATAAGGCCGAATTTTTGTTCCATATACGTACGCACTGCGAGCACGGGCAACAGTCGGGTGGTAAACAAAGCGGCGGAGATGCTGCGACGGCTGAGCTCATTGCCAGAGGACTCGTTGATCCTAATGGATTATGCAGCTAGAATTACTCTTTTCCCTGTCACTACGTACCGTCGATTTGTGTCTTACCATAGTACAAGTTTTCTGCTCTATTCCGATCAGAAACTTTCGCATAGGGTGTCATGCATATTGTGATTGTAATGATATATATACCAACTTATCGATAATAGATACACAGTAGCATATTTGATAACGATAATTAATAACGAGTAGCAATGTTAGTACAATACCCATGATAGATTAATTTGATAATTCCGTGCAACTGTGATTATTTTCTAATATATTTTTATTAGAGCCTTTTGCACATGATAGAAGAGGGTCATTTATGACTAAGGACATAATCTCGAAGATAAACGAATTTTATATATTAGGTTTGATCATTCCCTTATACATTTTACAAATTACTGGAAAAGTTTATCTAATATTTCTTAAGAAGATAACAGTCTTGGCAAGTTTATTTCACAAAAGATTATTAAAGAAGTAGCAATTTACGCACTTTGTAATAAATACATATCAGAACAGAGTTACGTAGAATTATTTTCAGGAATACACTACTGTGTATCTTGACACAAGATAAGATTACATTATTGAGAAGAAGAAATTTTAAGTATTGACATTATACTGACTTATGGTAAGAATGTGCACTATTATGTCAGTATTTAAAAGCTATTACTTAATAGTATACGTTCCTACATAGCTAGCTTCCTGCTATTTGTAGGTACTAGAAGACCTATTCTGTAACTTTTTAACATATAAGTTTTATTCACGTTATAGATACAGTAATTCAGTCGCGCTTGTTTTAATTTTTTCAAAATTCTGCATTTGAATATGTTTTGTTTAATGAATGTATTTTATTTAATATTTTTCTCTTTAATTAGGCTTGAGTCTGTTTTTTCAATTTTATAGCGCCTCTTCCGAGGCTTATTGTCTTGTGAGCATTCATTTTTGTTTTATCGTGGATAGGCTACTAACCTTGCCCACGAACTCTTCTCTTTTACTCGGGCTTGGGACTGGCAGTGTTGACTCCTGAGTGTTATCACTCTTTCGTCACACAGGCGAAGTAAACAAAAATGTATTTTATATTAAAAGAATATATTTTTAATATTTGAACATGACTGACAATGTAAATAATTATTAATATTCTTTACTAATGAATATAGCAAGACTGGAGTGCAATTGGATTGTTATTATGTCTGGAGACTGTAATCAGAGACTGGTCATCAGGCGATTTCTTAAAATTCTGCGAGAGAGAATGATATAAGAGAAAGAGAAAGCGATATACATTCATATTGCTTTCTCATATATCTCATATATATCTCATATATATCTCATATATATATATATATATATATATATATATTTATAATATATATATTTCATATATATCTCATATATCTCATATATCTTTCTCATATATCTCTTTCTTTTTCTTTCTCTTGTTTTTGAAGAAAAATGGCGGATCAATCAAAAGTGGCTCCCTTATTTCTAGTCTCTGATTAGGTCTCTAATTATGTATATATAGCGTGAATAAAGCCTAACAGTAACCATATAGTTGCATAAAACATGCATAAAAAGACCGATTAATGATATATGACATAAAGGATATACCATATATTGTTGTATCATAGAGTTAGATTTAAATAGTTACAGTTAGAAAGTTACAAAGTGGGCCTGTAATAGCATGTATTCTCTGATGTACAGGTTTGTTCTCAATGCTATTATATTTTTTTATATGTATATGTATGTTTTCAACTGCAACGTTATAATTTAGAGAATTTATTATTTTGATAGCACATCGTTCTCTTTGATCTAGATTTTAATATCAATGAGGATGAATTGTGTCGCCGTTTACAGATCTGATTTTGGAAAATTAATTATGTCTTATACAGAATGATTCATCTAATTTGATTAGCTTAAATTACTCTTTAACTATTCCTTACATAAACAAATTTTGAAACAAAAGTTGATAGTGTGATTTAGAAGACATGTATATTTTATAGTCAGTTATAGATTTTATATCGGAATACAATTTTATAAAGATCAAGTTATTTAAAAAATTATGTATATAATAATTTATTTTGAAAAAATTAAAAATAACAGATTTTTAATTTCTATACGACATCATCTAAGTTGTCAAATTCGATGAATTATCTTGTGTAATTTTACTATACTTGTCAGTCACTCGTTGACTATTCGCTTACATGTGTTGATATATGTTAAATCGTTATCTAGCGATTTGTAGTATACTTTTGGCGGAATTTTATGAACTTGTAAAGACAGTGGGTTCGAATACATTGTCAACTTATATACCAAATATGGGTCCCTGCAGTGCATAAATATCAGCGATGGTCGTATATCTAAAAACAAAGCTTTCGCTAAAAAAAAAGTTTGAAATGACAAACTTTAATTTGAAGTGTTCCGAATTTCTCCATTTTTTATTTACGTTTCTCGAAGAATTTCTTATAATAAGCATGTGTTTTTTAATTAAATTTTTTATTACACGTGCTAAAAAATTTAATATCTATTATTAGTCGATTTTTAGTGCAAGTAAAATTTTTTTTATTAATGTTTTTTACTACGGTACGATTATTCCTTATTGTTACGATCATCCTTGAAATCTCAAGTATCAGCATGTACTTAATCAAGGACGTTCGAGATTTAAACTTAATTATTATGAATATCGACGATGCATGGTAAAGACTTTCTCGTATGATTAATTATGAATCATTTATGATATCTTACACGTGTGTATTTCCATTATGGAAAAATATGAAGAAAGTTTATATTTTTTAATTTTTCTCTTGCGGTATATCTAGATCTCGGATAATTTATTCATTGTTTTATCGGGAAAGAGACATATACACGAATATACGTATTATTCGCATCGGGAAATTAGCGACAATAATCGAGTTCCAATTTTTCGTTGGAAACTGAAATATGCTCGTCAACATATTTGGCAGAGACTCTCAGGCGTCTTAATGTGAATTTGCATTGTGAACAAACTATATCTTCCAGAAAGAAGCCGATAGGATTCGCTTGTTACAGCGCTTAAAGCTTCCTCTCGTCTCCCTAGAATAGTTCTTTAAGATAAGCCAGTAAAAAATGCGCTAAGAGAAACGCGAAACTGCCGTGCCTCCTGCCCCCACGTACAAATCCGCTTCCGAGTTGTTTTCCATTCGACGGTCGCTTCATGGGACGACCGTGCCTCTGCGATGATATAAAAATCAAAAGTCGGAGCCTAACGCTGAGCGTATATTTTGTGTAACGTAACATTTACAACTATGTCACTAGAGGTATAATCACCGCGACAATAGCGACTATCTTAGATTATCGTACCGCATGACAATTACATCGGGAATATCCCGAGTCTCGACCCGAACTTATATTTTTAGCGTAGTGAGATTAGTGAATAGCATTGCCCGCCGCGAGGCCAATTTTTTTTTTTACTATACGACGCTCGTCCGCATCGCGCGCGGCCGTATTGTCTTGTCGCGCGCGCGTGTTGAGACGAAAGCGCAGTCAGATTTAGATCAATGCCTTCGGAGTCAACCACTGTTTGCAGTTTAGGGGATAAATAATTAACATTCGCCTACAGATCGGTCGTGAGCAGGACTAACGTTAGTAGCGTTCGATAGAGAACATTAGGAATACTTGAACAAATAGCATTCTCCATGTGGGAATGAAACAACGCAGGTCGATTACACGCTTCGATTGTATATCGTTCAATGTAAGCGTGAGAGTGTATGCACAGTCATTGTAACTTGGATTTGTTTACGAAGATTTTTTTTTATACAAAAGAAAGGGAGAAAGAATAAAACAAAAAGAAGGAAAAAGCGACGCGTTCAAGTAAACGCGATACGTAAACGCGTTCTCGTTGAGGATTTGGAAGAATACGACGCATAGTGCCTTTTCTCTGGGACTTATTCACACCATCGTCATCATTTTGAAATTCACGTGTTGGGGAGGCACACCGGCATAAATAAAACATTGACATAAGTTAGTTACTTAGGTAAGACGGCGTTTAGTTTCGTTTTTTCGTCCTTCTGTTACGAGGAGAGTGAACGTTCGATGCCACACTGCCTCTACAGCAGCTGTTTTTAGACTACTTTTATACTGTTGATGTCACGCGCAGCTAATCAGAGTCTGTATATTACTGCCATAATTATATACGGAACGAAATGTATACTCAATATACCTTTATAAATAAAACACGACCAAAAAAAGAAGACCCAAGTCGCATTCATTGCCGTCGTGTTCGATGGATATTAATCTCTCTGCGCGTAAGATTTAATCGAGGACAAACTGATGTCGCACACGTTACGACGTGACAACGGTAAAATCGGTAATACCGTCAATTCGAACGACAATAACGTTGTAACGCGTTTTCTCGGGCGACAATGTCGGGGTGACCTGAAATATCACGGGCGTGCAATTTCTTTCTGCCCACCTTTCGGTTGCCGAGTTCCTGCTCGGATGCAGGCGGTTCGCCTTGCCCGGATCGCGCCGCGCCCGTGTTACGGGCCAACAATAATAATGGCCAGCGAACCGGCTCGACTTCGTTGCATTTTTATTTCCTCGCCCTTGCCGACCCCTGCCTCCTCGCGCGAGCGATGGCGTGGTGCATTCGCATTATCACTCGCGAGCCTGTATAATAAGATAATCGCTCCTTTGTCCCTCCGTTTCTTCCGTTTCTGACGGTAATTCGTCGTCTTTCATGGAATAAGATACAAAGATGAAGCGCTATTTTTGTGATATTTTATAGCGGATAGTCCCATTTAAATATATACGTATTGACTTTTCAAATTAATTTCAATAAAGAGCATTTTTATTAAAATATTATTAAGTATTTTATGTCGCTTATAAAATTAAAGAGATGGAAACGAGTCTTTTTAATCTTTTAACCTGGAAAAATTATCTTTATTTGTTCTCGAAGTCAAACTTTTTCTATTATAATAATCGTATTAAATAAATTTAATTACAATTGTGAATTAAATCAAGATAGAATAAATACATTTCTAATACATGCGTTTCTCGCATAAATATATATGTATATCGGGCGTATCCCACATTTTCTTCGGTATCGTGGGATTCTCAGTTGCAACATCATGGAGAACGCAAAGGTTACCGGATGAAAGTAAGCCGACCCCATGAAGCATGTGATTGTGCATGCATTTGTACGGGAAATTGCTATGCAAGATACATCGGGCATTCCACGAACGATCGAGACGAAAATTATTCGATTCTGTGCAGTTCCGATGTTTTATTTTTCAGACGCAAAAAACGGGACATAATGTAGAAGAGAGAAGGAGCTCTTGTGAGAATATATTTTAATACACTTTACGAACAATGTTACGACAATGAATCATTGATGATTAATATTTAAAAACTCATAATTATTATTTAGATTTTTAACAACAGAGCACATTAAGTTTAAAATTAATTTAAAACATGAAATAAAAACAAAAATAAATGTTGACTATGATTTTGAACAAAAGTGATAATTTTTTGCACAAAATTTTTTTCTAGTTATTAATTTTCTTTATTTTTATTAATTAACTTTTAGTTAATCATTTTTTTGACACTCAACCACGTTTTTATTTCAAGATTTGGATTTTTTAAGTAATGGCGGGTCGTGTTCTTTAAAGACTCGAAATAACACGTTATTAAAATAAAAACTTCGTTAATTTCATCACGGATACGTCACCGCTTTTCACATCGTAAACTCGCGTGCCACTCAACTCTTGCTGAACGTATAGGAGAAGCCGTCGGGGGTCCGATTGAAGCTGAGTTTTCCCGGCGGATAAAAATTGCGGGGTGCCGGTGTCGTTATCGCGTTGTATTGCGGCGCGGGCGCGGGCGCGAGCGCGGGGCGAAGTGGAGGCTGATAGTGCGGCTGATAACTCGGTGGCGCGTACGAGGATATACTTTGCAACTCCGAGGGATAATGATAGCGAGGCGGCGGCGGCGGCGGCGGCGGCTGCGGTCGGTACTGGTGCTGCGGTTGAGGCCGCGGTTGAGGCTGCGGTTGATAAACGACAGGTTGCGGTTCGTAATCCGGTTGATAGCGCCGCGGATACTGCTGAGGGGCTGGCGATGCGTAACTCGGGGGTTGGTAATCCGGCGGATTATATTGCGCCAGTGGTACATACTCCGGCTGCGGTGGCACCTGCGGGGGTGCGCTGGGAATGTGATCCCCGGTCGCCTGCGAGACAAAAAGTTGCAGCTTAACTTAAAACTCTATTAAAATTAATGAGATATAGGATTGAGCAAAATTGAGCTTCATATTATGATTAATTTGGCAGTAAACTAATGAATTCGTTAGGCTCTTTAATTATTGATCTATAATCTTTTCTGAAATATTTATATAAAATATTTATATAAAAATCAATGAGTTATAGCATCGTAAAATTAAATTATAAAAATTTAACAAAAATAAATTATAAAAAGTTATAAATTTAGCGTCATATAATAATATAATTAATGAACAAAATTAATTAGCAAGCAAACGTGCACTCTGCGTACTTGGAACCCGTTCTTTCCGGCCGTGTAAGTCACAGTGCGCCTTTGTCCGGTTGGATCGATGTACGAGTATGATCCACGTCGATTACCCTCTACATCGCTTTCCTCCTTAAATTCCACTCCGTCTTCCTGAGAGTAGGCGGCGCCGAATGTGCCATCACCCGCGAGATAACGAGCGTCGCTCAAAATCGCCGCCTGATGCGGCGATTGGTAATAAGACTCTTGACTGGAGACACCGATGATGATACCCAACAGAATAATCTATGTACGTGATAAAATAAAATTTGAATACTTACAGACAAATTTTTTAGTCCGACGAATTGGAATATCTGAGAAATATCTAAGAGCTACAACTGCTACAAGAGACATAAAATATTTCTGTTTCTTATTTAACACATGTATACGTTTTATGACATTGCGTAATTATTTTCTGGTATATTTTATTAATTTTAACTTTACATAGAATTACATTATAGTTTAAAGGAGTGATTTGACGAGAACGATTTAAGACTAAACACTTACGACTACGGCGGGCATGTTGAAGGAATAATCGATCCTTATGCAGCGGGAAGCGCAACAGTGCTCCCAGAAGTCGATGAGAGGGGCGTTTTATACGACGTGTTGGCTCAGGGCAACCCGGCGAAGAGGCCTTGATGGGCAACCCGCGCGTCCCAGTCCCGGATCACATTGGTCTTCCACCACGCCCTGCGAACGATTTCTGTACAAGTTTCTAATCCTCGTACATTACTTCGCCGTGTGATAACTTAGGCTGACATTTCGCTTAGGAAACCGAGCATTCCGCTCGTACAGTTTCGACGAAGTTTTCAAAAATTCCTCGTTAATTTTAACTTGCTCGAATATCTTTGTTGAGAATCGATCGTAACAAAAGTGTCATTTTTTTTAATTAATGTACTTTTACAACTCAAACAAAGTGCATTTCTACAGAAATGCATTTGTAATTTATTTATTTCTCTTATCGGGTTTTTCAAAGAATACTCGTGGAATTATGTACATTATTTTTGAACTGTCGACAGTGTCCTCGACGGTGTAAATCTTCTTTACATTTTTATTCTTCCAAAATTAAAATAGTATAAGCAAAATTGTGCTTTGTCATTTTCTGTTTTCAAATTTAAATATATATATAATGCAGGCAGGTGTAGATTAAGATTATAGATTAAACGATCAACCAATTTATATTTAAAAAACGCGATGAAATCAATATCAAAACGTTGATATAGCTGTTACAGATAATATTTTCATTAACTTTCGGGAACATTCAAACATTGGAAGATTATGGTCATTTTCATCACTATATTTGCTCTTTTTTTCATTAGGCGACAATTTAAATAATAGATTATTTAAATAATTAAAAAGAGAAGAGAACAATATAAAGTAGAAATGCTAATATCGCGTGCAATCAACACAACGTTTCAACAAAACGTTTTAATAAAAAAAGAATCATTATCAATTCAAATAGCTATAATGTATATCAATTTTACAAATGCATTGAACCGACAAGTTCCGAGGTCAAAGAAACAGAAAAGCCTGGGTGCGCTCTCGGGAATTTCTCGCTGACAACTCGCAATGCCGAGGACTCAATCCTGAGGTCTTTCGCCTGTACACTACAGTAGATTATGTACCGACTTTACCGAACGCTGTTACCGACTTCCAATGGATTATCGGAGGCATAACGGCAATCGTGCGGAAGCTTGGGGCATTCTTCGGGGTTGGCGTCGCGCGCGATCCTTGAAATTGCTTTTCCTTCCTGTCGTCGGGGTATCAAAAAGTACTCGTCGAAAAACAAGATCATTGCCCCCTCACTCGCCGTAGTAACCATGATCATCGATTTCACTCGCGAACCCGCGATGTTACGATCGCGGTAATGAGTTCTTATGCCCATTACCGCATCGCCAAATTGGAATCGACGGCGCGAGACTCCGGGAAAATCAAGCCGAGTGGCACTTTAATTGCCTCGGCGCGCATATATTAATCGCGGCGTAATACTTCGTATACTCCGTTCGCGTTTCCGTTTTCCTTAATAACTCGATAAGTATGGCGAAAGCGCGCGGATCTCATTGCTCTCGGCCTCGAGCTATCAAGCATTTTTCTCGTTTACGATTATTTCTGCATCTCGCAATCGCAGGCGCGGCGCGGCGCAAACGTACGGATTATAAAACTCCTCCGACGGGGCAATGGATATCCTGTTTCGCTTTTTTACTCGTCGATTACTCCAAATGCGCGATTTTCCTGTATTTCCGATTTTTGTGGCCTTTTTTTATCTTTATCATCGACGTCTTGTTTTGATTTAAATGGATAATTTAATTAAAAACTTTCTATATGGGACATTTTGTGGAAGTAAATTGTAGTAAATTAATTCATGCGTGATGTTTATTGAGTGCAGTTGAAGTACTACATATCGTGTCGGTCGAGATACCGCGTATCGCGGACATCGTTCGAACGGAAGGAAGTCATGCATTTCTACATTCGCCTGGGTGAAATAAGTTCCCGAGATACCGCGATATCAGGCGCCACAGACGCAGATCTTCCCAGTCGATCGGCCGAGAATAATCGACTTTCTCCGCCCGCTTCCTCCTGTCAAATCCTTCTTTTTTTTCTCTCCTCTCTTGCCGATCTTACCTTTCGAATCTTATCGCGGCTGCGTGTTTTTCATCATCTACATCCGCACGCGCGGATCAACGTAGGTTGACGCCCGTTCGAAGTGTCGCAACGCAACGTTCGCCGTTTCGTTTGTAACTTGAGAAATTGCCGTTAATTCGAAACGAGATTCGTCAAGGAAGGCCGTTTTACGAGATTTTCATGGTTTCGCTTAAACCGCGCGTTTCCTTGTCCAATCTCTCTACCCGACATTGTTCATGATAATCTTACACATGTATCCGGTATTCCTTTATTCGGCCCATTAATAAATTACTTCGACGCTGAACGGCTTCTCGGAAAAATTGTTTGGCAATCGGAGATTCAATTGCCAGGTGAAAAAAATTATATTTTTAGGATAAGATTATATAGAAGGAAACCATATATCTTATTTCAACATTTGAACTACTAAAAGGATTAATGCAATGCAACGTCCGCTATTCATTTCTTACTCGGTACCAGTAATGTAAACATAAAACTTTTATATTATCCGTACACCGCATACACGAAAAGCAGCAGGATACGCTAGGCACTTATAGGGTTTTAATTTACGCGGTTTAATACGTCAATGAGTTAAGTTGGAAGATAATGATCGTTGTTCACGAGCGGTTGCGTTGCACTCTCATCGCATTAGTGGCTCGCGAGCGTCACGCGGCCGCGTAATTATCTCGTCGTACGCGAGCGGTTTTCTTTTCGCGCGCGGTAATAAAGCCAGCGCGGTCCATTATCTTACGGAATTTATAGATCCGAGCTAAGTAGATCCCCTGGGTTTTTTTTCCTTCCACTGCTTTTCACCCCTTTCATTTCGTCCGACTTGGCGGAGCGCTATAGATTGCCACGCCTGACGCAAATTGGTAATGTTTAGCGCACGCCAGACCGTTTGCGCGTCGTAAATTTAATTATATGCAACGCATAGAGACAGTGTAGTTATATACAACATAGTTTATTTTTTTTTCCCGCATGCCTCGGCCGTTTAACTAAAAAGATCCGCGTTGCTTTGACTCACGTCATCGGAGATTCTTGTATTCCATGTTATAATTCAGTTTAGTCAATCTTTAAATGCATAAAACTTTATGTTAGACAAATTGAAATATGATTAATGAAACAAAATTATAAAAAAGTAATAAAATTAATAAAAAAATAAGCTTATTTTGATATTAATCTTTTTCTGGAAAATTAAAGAAACAATGTATAGAGTTTCAATGTATAGAATTGCACTTACTCTGCTTGGTAAAATTTTATTAATCAGTTGGAAATTTATTTTATTTTAAATTCTTTTCCTTATAACTTTTTTATTCTATTTTTATTGCTATGGAATTATATTAATTATTACTTCGCATCGTTAAATATAAGGAAATACTCGAAACTAGATTCTTAGGCCTTTTGATTCCTTTTTTGCTTCAATGCAATCACATGTAATCGCAATAAGAATTATTACGAGCATTTGCTCTACCACATAGCGCGCTTTCTTCTCGTCTTTACTCCTCATTTGAGACAACTTAAGCGCATACGCGAACCTTACCGGCTCCGGTTTAGCGCTCTGAAACGCGAATTCAGCTAAAAAAACACCGCGCCAATGTTTCTTATTACGTCATCGTAGCCTCGTTAAAATCCTCGGGATCGCATGGAGCCTAACGATTTCACCATTCCAGCTCCTAAAGTTTAAAAAATCGCTTCGGAGAACGTGAAGTTGAACACTTCAACCCCTCCTGCTACTTTAATCTTTCTGACCTGAAAGAAAACAATCCATATAAGTATTGCACGTTTTTATTTTCTTAAATTTCTATTTACACTTTAGAATACATTAACTATGTGTTAAAATTATACTTTAAATACTGCTTTTATTCATTAAAATCTTTTATTAAAATCTTCTCTGTATAATTATTTTATTTAAAAAATACATTTTTGAAATGCGATAGTTTTAACCTTACAGAGAATTCTGCAGATAAAAAATTATCGTGCTATCGCGAAAAAAGTTAAATATCGCAGGTTCTCAAATTTTTAGATTTTTTAGGAAGTATCCTGAGTTCTTGTGGGATCACCCTTGGAGAACAATTCTATAATAGCGTTACGCCAGAGACGCGCTTTCTTGCAACGATTGATAATATATCCTCGAGGGGGGGAGCCTTTTGTCGGAGTTTGCTAGTTACCTGAGGCGGAATTACTCTAAAAGTAGGTAGCTACCACAGCCGCGCGCCACCAATTACGCCGGGGCGACTGCGGCTATATAGAAGAGCCACGCCGACTCCGCCGGCTGATTTCTGCGAGTAAACTCGACGCGACAATCCGCGTACATCTTTCTCTCCACACGCAGCCATGAAACTACCAGTGAGTGTTCCAAGATATTTTCTGATTGATTGACCGTATTCATCGTGTCGGCATTAATATAGTGACGAGAGATATTTTAATTTTTCATCAAATTTTACTTCGCGGGACTTGTTGCCAATTGTGACTGTTAAAAGTGGACTATATTTTTCAATCGGTTTCTGTTTGTCAAATGATGGTTATTTCGAGAGTCTTATTCAATGAAATATATATTGCATTTTGGTGATATTGATATGATTTTATCGCACAATTATTCGTGATTTATTTTTTAACGTTGTATTTATTCAGTTTTATTGTTTTTAACTTAAAGTCAGTACATGACATCGTCGGATGTATCGTGCTAATATTATTTATTATAAATTTGCAGATTCTTCTCATTGTGGTGATATCGATTGCGTGGGCGAAAACGGAAAATGTAGGGAGGTCTGCTCGCGCGCCGCAAGGGCAAATCAAGTATGTCGATGGCGGTGAGTACGAAGTTTTCTCGATTATTCGCTGTTGAAGACACGCCTCGAGAACCTTGGACCTGATGTATCGCAATTAACTGTTGCCGCTACTGCAATTATAACGCACGCGAGAGTCCGTGTTTTTCACATCCCAGATCTTTAGAACAATTCCTTTGTGATCCCCGATAATGAGGTCAGCGTTGCATAAACACCAACAATCGACGACCGGCGATAAATTGGATGTCGGAATGACGGAACGGTGTTCCTCTCGGTGTTTCAGATTCGAGGATCAACTGGGATCTATACCTTGCGCCCCAGAGCCAGTTGCAGCGGGCGAATGCTCACCGGCCTCAGCGCGCCGAAGGCGGCTCACCCCTTCGTCTTCGACAGGCTCAGCAGCATCGTGCCCCAGCCTCGGCGCCACAGCCTCAACCCCAGCAAGTCCAGCAGCAGGCCCAGGGTCCGCAGTACTACAGTTACAAGCCGTACTCGGCGGTGCCGAGTCACATCAGACAGCTGATCAATTCGGTCTATCAGCCGCAAGCTCCCTACGTCGATCCTACGTCTTTCATTTACGGCGGCAACCACTTTGCGGCGGCACCGCAGCAACGTGAACAGCAACAATTAGCCCCAGCCGCCTCCGAAGTTCCTCGCGGTGCCTACTTGCAACCATCGGCGAGATACCAATCGATCGATGCTCAAAGAGCGCAGCCCAGATACGAATACAGCGACAGGAGAGTGGAGCGTCAGGATAGAATTGCCTACAAGGAGGATTACGAGCAACAGCAACAGCAGCAGCAACTGCAGCAGCAACTGCAGCAGCAACTGCAACAACAGCAACAGCAGCAGCAACTGCAGCAGCAACAGCAGCAGCAACAGCACCAGCAGCAGCAGCAGCAACAAGTAGCGTTTCCGCTAGGAGCGATACCCGAACCTCCGCTACCTACTCTATATTTGGACAGAAACATGCCTTCGGAAATCAAGCAGTTGTTGCAATATCAGGCGCAGATACCATACGACGTGACAGCGAATCGCATTCAGTACAAACCGAAGAGCACTTTTATCCCCAAGCCGTTATCCGATGACGTTAAGGGACCCTATTATTACCGCAGCAAGATTTACTATCCGAGCGACGACAACGTCGACGCGGAATATCAGCAGGACAAGCCGGTCGAAGAGGGACAGCGCCATTGACCAAGAATTGACCTACAGGGTAGTAATACGATTTATATAATTTAATATTCTATTTCTCGGCGTTTTCTCTTCGAAGAAAAGACGGCTAGCCCCAAGACTCGCTCGAGTTGAATCCCGTTTTTACTCGCGGAAACAGCTTCTTGATATCATCAAGGGTTTGTTGAGACTAGTATCTAACACGCTTTAAATTGTTGTATCACTTGTTGACATTTTAATGACGTATGTCTTGTACTACCGTGTATTTGACAATAACAAATGCGGTTTTCTTCTTTGACGGTCAAAAACGGATGAATGTTTGACACTCGATAATTAGAATCAATTTACTAATTAGAAAAAATAACTACTCGATTTATAATTAACATAGAATAATTTGCTAAATATAATTAACATAGAAAGTTTGTCTTTAAAGAAAATTAATTGAATAAAAGATTGATAAAAAATACTTAATTGACTTTCACGGAAATTTACATAATACAGTAATTAATGACGAAAATTTATTAAAACAGAAATGGCAAATGGTATCTTGGTCTAACAGACTTCTTTTCGATTAATTTTCTGTTCGTTTTTCATTTCACTCAATTATGAAAAGGTGTGTATTCAGTATTTTTCGTATGAGTAAGTGTGTAAAGATAGAAAATACTTGACTATATACGGTAACGCGAAGAATGTAATTTTTTGTACGATTAGTAAATAAATCGTTTCCGCTTCTGGCATCATGGAAGTCATTCACCTTGTCGTAGCGCAATCTTTGCTTTTATTATTTTAGCTCACGGAACTTGGCGGAACTTCCGCTCGTAAAAAGGTGAGTTAAACGCCCGAGCGAAAATTCGATAAAAGCAAAGCTAACGTTTACTCCTTTCAGGAAGTTTCGCGTTTCGCGCGACGAGTAATTTGCTTAATTATACATGAGAAGTTACTAAGTCCCACGTTATTAGAGCAAATAGAAAGCCGGACGGTTTTTCGCTTTCTATTGAATAAAGATACCTGATCTCCCTACGATGTTAGAAAGCGATATTCCATCTTATTTACCAGAATCGCTACGTTACGCTATACCATTACGATAAGAGAGCGCGTTTGAGATATAAATTTTGCGAAAGGAAGTAAACTCTCTGAAACGACATAATTTGAGAAATTTCTTATCAGATTGAGTCACATAAATTACAGAATTACTGCCAGGCGTGAATATATGACGAGAGAAAAAAGTATACGACAGCTAATACATAACACTTTTATTAATAGATTTTATTCTGATTAGAAAGGGATTAAGTTCTTTATCGATAGCAAAAAATTTAATGCACGGAAATTAGAAATCCGATCAGGCGGATTTCATCATCGATGCATGACGATACGAAGGTGAGAATATTTATAATATGTGAGGATTCGAAAAAGCGTATCGCCTGGTCACATATATGTTCGTTTTCACGTAGAAATTGAAACTTCTAAAAGCGTGGAAGGATAGCATTTCTCCGGACAAGGAAGATCGACAATCCACTTTCGTGGCCTTCACGCTTCGCGTGTCGATGCAGCCGTCGAGTCGCCGCAATTGCGAATAGTCGCGTTTTCATTTTACGCAATCTTCCTTTTTACTCCTTACCGACGCTCTCTTGCACAGATAGATAATTCGCCAGGATTACGCCCTTTAAGTTTACCAAGATTCTGCTCGAGGAAATCGAAGGGACTTACAGCCGTAATTTTACACGGTGATTCGTAACAAATCTGGCAGTTA